TGCAATTGATTTATTCATTACTACTTGGCATAAGCGGTGAATGGACGAGTTTGAGGAACCGATGACCCCACTGGAGAGGTCGCTGGAGCATACAGAGTTAGCGAGTCATCTAAATTTATGTTGTTGTTTTAGTATCCCCCTAAAATATTCTAAAATTTTAGGCGTTCCTCCTTGAACATGCAAAATATTCAAGCATTCCCTTGTTTTATTTTTTGCGTGGATTATTACTTCTAGTTTTCTTTTAACGTTCCACGGGGAACACGTGAAATTGTAGAATTCCCCTCAAACATTCTTACATTTCAGGGATAAGAAGATGCGTTTGCAGTAATATTATCAAAATAAACCTCAGTATAAAACAATTAAAAAAAAACATTTGTTTTCGCAGCTTTAGCAAAATCCCATGTAAATGGGTTCTCTTGATGATGAGATTTGTTGAATACGCAAATATGAATGAGATCTAAAGTAAATATTCACCAGATATTAATGGTTTCTTTTATTAAAAAAACAAAATTAGAGTGAAAGAGACTATGTTTTTAACCAAGGGACTGAGTTTTTAACTGACTTTTGGTATGGTATTAGGTCCCAAAGGTGAAAAAAAGTGAATGGTCTTAAAAGGTGAAAAGGGTTAACTCTATGGAGTACTTGGATTGAATCAATCAATACTACTAAAGTAATTATTAGAATTATCTCAAAATTACATGTGTCGCGTCCACAACAAAAAATTTCCCGCCATAAACTTTGTTGTTGTTTTTTTCCTTACAGAATAAATATATATATATATATATATATATATATATATATATATATATATATATATATATATATATATATATATATATATATATATATATATATATATATATATAAGAATCTACAACCTAAACAACCCAAAAAATTAAACAATTACAATAGCTTTAAATAAATAATAATTAAAATATTTTTTTCTTTGCTTTATAAATACATTAGAAAAGTGAGATTGCTGATTAAAAATAACGAACAACGTAACGTAGAGTCATAGCAAGGGTATGTAATGTTCATCTTATTTTCACTTATTTAAGTTCTAATAAGTTCAGTTCAGGAATAATAAGTTATGATAAGGGATACCCAAGTTCAAATTACAACTAAAATAAGTATTAATAAGGTTTAATAAGTTCAGATAAGATCAGATTAGTTCAGATAAGTAAAAATCAGGTGAATATAGCATGCCCTAAATTAGTGAATTTTCACAATTTTTGTATGCGGCCTACTGTACCATGCGGCTTGCTTACAAAAAATAATGGACCCCCATTTCTATTCCCGGTTATTTTAAAGCCAAAAATAACGGACCCCCAATTAAAGCCATTTTTTTCCCACTTCTCACTCCTCATTGTATTCCCCTTCTCATGTTTTTCTCTCTCCTACCTTCTATGGATGATTTCTCTCTCAAACCTTCCATGAGGATGGTTGGTACAACATACAAACAAATTCATGCAAGAATTTACACAAAGAGCAAGTAATTTGAAAACCCCCAAATCGATTTTTGGGGTTTTTACGTGAGATTTTTGGCAAAATTCTCAAGCAATTCCGCAACAAAAGCATATAAACAGGGTTATTGGGTTTCTGAGTTGATTTGGTGTAGTTGGGGTTGTTCGTCTTCGTCTTCGTCTTCTTCGGCGCCATTGGAGTAGCTTCAAAGAAGATGAAGAAAAGGGTTACTTATAATATGGGTTAACTATTGAGGGGTTACTGATAGTATTGGTTACTTGAAATTTATAACATGGGTTACTTGAAATTAAGGGTTACTTTTGTTCAAAAAAAAAAAATTAAAAAAATTAGGGTTACTTATTGTAGACATCTAATTGTGCCTTCCCAAAAACCAAACCTAGTGATGAGTACCTTTCACGTCTTTAATTATCGAGTTAGGTGAAGAGTTGAATAGTTTCGTGAATTTCCCTTTAGCCTTGACCATTTCTAACCTTTTCTTAAATGTTTTAATCCAAAGTCATTTATTTCATGTCTTTGAAAATCATTCATTTCGTGTCCTCTTTATAAAACGTCCAAACCAGTCTATTTTTGTCCATAATCCTGGTCCAATTATTATGTAGTTGGATGGGGCTTGAAAAGAGCTTTCCAACGATATATTATAAGCTTAAATCCGACTTATAACAAAAAAGTTATGGCCAAAATCCTAAACCGAGCCCGAATCAAGCCTTACCTGTGACCCAATGATCATGTGGAGGGTCCATTAACCTTGACCTTATTCCTAAACCAATTAGGATTTATTACAAGCTTCGAAAATCTTCTAGAAGGTTGTTTTCAATCCTAAATCCATTAGGATTTATTGTGAGCTTCTAGAATCCTCTAAAAGGTTCTAATTTATCCAATTTTCGAAAAAATAAAGATTTAAGAATTTTATATCGGATAAAACATCTTTTTTTCAATAATCCTAATCTCGTTCAAATTAGAACACGTACGGAAATTTGATTAACCCAATCTGATTGGAAGTCGGATTTTGTACGAATTCTATCTTTCCAAAACCATCGCTCAGCGACAACATCATCGCGCCGCGACAAGTTTGTCGCGCTGCGATGGACCGCGACAAAGCTATTGCGCCGCGATGAGAAGTGTTTAACTTCAAGTCGAATTCTAACTCTTTTCTGATCCTTCGACCCTCTTTTTTCCTTATAAGTAGAGGTCGTTTCACCTCATTTTCAGTCATTAACAAGCTTGATCACCAATAATCATCATCTAATCCCTCCTCTAATACTTTCTCTCTCTCTCTCTCTTGATTCTTTTCTTAGCCTAGCCTAAACACGTCCTAATACACATCCTTGATACTTTTCCCTAATCAAACACCATACCTCCTTCACGAGCTTTGAATACTCTTAGCCAATCTCGAAGTTGCCTTCGACCTTGACGTGAAAGGTTGATAGTTCTGAGGGTTTGGTCCCAAATCTATATTTCAATTCTTATTTGATTTAATCTTTCTTGAAGTTACTAGCTTGTGTATTGTTTTGATAGAAAGAGATACGAGACATCAAAGTAAGTAATTCGATTACTTAATTGTTCTTTTGATAGAAATCATGCTTAGAATATTATTTTAATTCCTAGTATCATGTTAGGATGTTGATTTTGATTCCTAGTATCATGTTAGGATGTTGATTTTGATTTATAATATCATGTTAGGATGTTGATTATTATGATTTATAGTATCATGTTTAGGATAATGCTTTGGTTATGATTATTTGTGACATTCTAGGGTTTGTTATTAATTCGTTTAGTATCATGCCTAGGATCTTGCTATTAATCGTGTTTTGATGATTTTGATTATGATGATGATAGTTGTGTCAATTATACATTGCTTGATTATTCAAGATTGATTGCTATTGCTTGATCACGCCTCTTCTTGCAGGTTTAAAGGGAATTTGTACTTAAAATCACGTCTAATAAGATAATTTAATAATTTGAATTTAGGCTAATATGATTTTAATTCAAGTGATCACCGATAATAGACTTGATTGTGCATTAATAATCAACCAACTTAGATTAAACAGATTTAGGATTAACTTGATGTATGTATGTTGATCGGAAAGCGCACATGAATATTATAAGAATTAAGTAGAGGCCAATTTAGGGTGAGTTCAATATCTTTTAGGTTGGATTCGTACCATCATCCCCAAATATCCAGTCAGGGTTCCGGACCACTATGGAGTTAGCGATCTCCGTGATCGTGAATGGGGTGTAACCTTCACACCCGTGAACAGTTTACAAGTTCCTAAAACTTGTTGGCAACTCTTTTATCTCTTCTTTCCTTTTGGACGCCACCATGCCTAAAAACATGATCACAGTGGGGCTTAAAGTTGGGTTTGAAAAATTCCCTACACTTATATATGGGTTACTTGTTTATGTCTTCTGTTCTGGGTATTAGGGGTTATTTGAAATTAAGGGTTACTTATAATATGCGTTATTGAAATTAGGGGTTACTACTTGATATTATGGGTTACTTGAAATTAGGGGCTACTTGAAATTGGGGTTTACTTGAAATTAGGGGTTAGTTAAAATTAGGGGTTACTTGAAATTGGGGGTTACTAGAAATTAGGATTTATTTGAAATTGCGCGTGAGTGTCAGACTCCGTTATGCGCGTAAGACTCCGTTATATTTGCTAAGTTGGCAGCGGGCCACACTGTGTGGCCTGCTGCACCAAAAATTTGCTACCATTCAAATTTCTAAATCAATTCCACTAAAAATTTATTGTTGCAAATAGGAAATCACCAAACTAAAAAAGTTTTAATTATATATTAAAAATTAGAAAATCTTCTATATTCCCTTGAATCTTCATTCGTTAATCTATAAAATGAATTTTTCCTTTCCTACTATGAAAAGGGATTCTAACTCAATTCTAAATTCTAATTTTGTCAGCAAACTACCAAAATAAAGATACCCTATATTAACGTGTCTCATCTATAATAATTTGATAACGTAAATAGATATTTAATTGTATATACAAAATTTAAATAAATTTATATAAATATTTTTTCTACTTAATATCTGAGCGTTACTCGGGCAAAGAATGAATTCTAATAAATCAAAATATATACTTCCTCCGTAAACGGTTATTTGCAACATTTACCAAAAAAGGGTGCTATCTATTATTTGCAACAAAACTATTTCTTTCCTAATATAGTAACTTTTTTACGGTAAAATGACCAAAATACCCTCATTTAAAAATTATTAACATATAATACTACACATAATTACAAATTATTATAACCCTAATCTAACTTAATTATCTAAGCTTTTCCCCCAAACAAATCAGATCAATCCCTAATTTCATCTCCCCACCATCTCTCTCCTCCATCTTCATCTCTCAGTTTATCATCATCTCTCATCTTCTTCGATCTTCATCTCTCAGTTCATCACCATCATCATCTCTCATCATCTTCTTCATTTTCATCTCTCATCTCAGTTCGTCGGTGGCTGTTGGTGGTTTGTGGGTGGGTTCGGTAAATCTGGTGATAGTTGTTGTTTGTGGGTGGTTTTTGTGGTTCGTGGGTGGGTGTTTGTGGTTTGTGGGTGGCTATTTCGTGGTTCGCGGATGGTTGCTTCGTGGGTGGGTGTCGGTGGTGGTGGTTTTGGGCGGTTCGTGGGGGTAGTTTCTGGATGGGTTTGGTTTTTGGGTCTCAGATCTAGTGGTTCTAGGGTGGTTTTCGTGGTTCTTGTGTGGTTTTCGTGATTCTTAGGTGAATTTCGGTGGTTTGTGGGTGACTTTCGGTGATTTGTGGGTGGCGTGGATGGTGGTTCGTGGGTTCTGGGTGGCGTGTGGTGGTGGTGGTTCTGTGTGGCGTGTGGTGGTGGTTGTTTTGGGCGGTTCTTTTTAATTGTAATTGTTTTTTAATTTTTTATTTTTGATAATAGTTAATTACATGTTCATAACTTTCAATAATCATGTTTAAGAAGTTTTGCCTAGGAGTCCGCGCTAACCCCCTTTGTTGCAAATAACTGTTGACGGAGGTAGGAATAAAAAAAAATTCCTTCTTTAACCGATAAAAAATAAAAAAATAAAATTCCCAATGCAAATCTTATGCAGTTATGCTAGACTGCTACTCTGCTAGAGTGGGAAAACATTGAAATATTTAAAGCGGTTCCTCCTTCCTCTTTTTTTTTGTTTGTTTGTTTTATTTTTTTAATTTATTTTCTTTCTTAAAAATAAGTAATATTTCTGAAAAACCTGCCATTGGCCCTCTTCTTCCTTCCAGAAAATTTTCTCTTTCCTCATTGCTTTTTTCTTCAAAATTCAAAGATAATTTTTTCGCGAAATCTTCAAGATCTTCTTCAATCTCTCTCCTCTGATTGTAGATCTTCGTTAACCTAATTCAAACTTTCCATCACTTTCATTTCATATTTCATGGTTTAATTTTTTTGAAAAAAAATCTGGATTTTACGATATATTTTGGAAAAAAATTGAGAAATCTAGGGTTTTTTAATTTTTTGGATTTGCGGTTTGTGTTGTAACTATTGTAAATAACGATGAAATAGTTTGAATCGATGAAAAGCTGAAGAAATTTATTGTGGATTGATGTTTTGAATTTTGGAGAAATGAAGCGTGAGTTAGCGGCATTGGAGATGCAGTCTCCGGTGATTGGGAGAACGACTCGTTCGAGTAAGCGGCTTTCTGTTGGTGGTTCGAGTCCAGTTTCCGAGAGTTTAGTGTATAAGAGAGTGAAAAGGTCGACGGTTCGAGCAAGAAAATCGGAGGTCTTGAGTAATGGTGGTGGTGATAATGGTGCGGTCGAGATTTCAGAGGCGAGTGAAGGTGTAGGAGATCAAAATGGAGCTCATGATCCGCAACCGGAGGAGAAAATTGGAGTGCCGGAGGTGCAGGAGAGAGAAATTGTTGTGGCTGCTGGGGTGGATAGTGAAGTTGTGAAGTCAGTGTGTGATGAGGAGGTTAAGAATGTTTATGAAGTTTCGTCGATGGCGGTCGAGGAGAAGGGTGTCAATGAGAGCTCTGTAAATGGTGATGGTGATGGTGATGGTTTGATGAAGAATGAAGTGTGTGATGATGTGGAGGTGAATGGAGAGCTATTTGAGGAGCAGAATTTGGTAGCTATTAAGATAGATTATCAGGATGCAGTTGTTAATGAGGTGCATGCTAATGGTGGTAGTATTGAAGTTGAGAAAGTGTTGGAAGGAATTTCGACGAAATCTCCATTGAATGCTGTTAATGGTAAAGCCAAGAAATCCTCTATTGAGAGATATCCAAGGCGTTTTACGCGATCAGCATTGAAATCTAAGGTGGATACCGTGAAAATAGGGAATGATTATGTCGAGCAGGGAAATTCGAAGGCAGTAACGAATGAGGGTAATGGAGAAGTTTGTAAGGAAATAGTCGTCTATTCTGAAGCCTCAAGGAGTGAGAGTAATGGGGTAGTAAAGAATTCATTATTAGAGAAATATTCAAGAAGGGTTACTCGCTCTGCTTTGAAGCCTAAAGTGGATGATAGTACCTTGCGCTCTGTAGAGCCTGCCACTCTTGATAACAAAAAGGCGGTATCTGCTCCTCTAGATACGAAAATGGCGGTTGCTGTCACTTTAGATATAGAAACGTTGGTGCCTGTCAAGAATAGTGAGAATGCAGAGTGTGATGCTGGCAAAGATAGTGAAGAGCCTAGCTCAGCACCTCCGAGGAGGAAATTGGAGATGAAAATGTCAAAACAGATATCCCATGGAAAAGTCCCGAGCAATGTTCAGGAGCTTCTTGCCACAGGTTTATTAGAGGGATGTCCTGTTTATTATGATGGCGGCAAGGTATTATAACATTAACTTACCTTTCCTGCTATTCGTATATATAGAATATGGATGTTTCATTGATGTGGCATCTGATTTAATGTTTCATTTAGTTGAAGCCGTCTGCTTTCATTCCTTTTTGGCTATTTCCTCAAATATATTTGGAAACTAAATGCTCATAGATTTAGACTGTTTCATTATAGGGTTTGAAGCTGAATGGAAGAATTAGAGGTATTGGCATACTATGTTCTTGTGGATTGTGCAAAGGATGCAAAGTGAGTATTGGCAGTTGAGGCATTTACCATTATCAGCTATATAATATATAAATTCTTTGCTTATGTTAATTTATCTTGTAGGTTATCCCCCCCTCTCTGTTTGAGATTCATGCTTGTAACAAGTACAAACGGGCGGTACAATACATATATCTTGAGAACGGGAGAAGTTTAATTCATATACTAAAAGCATGCAAGAACACTCGTCTTAGTACATTAGAAGCCACAATTCAAAATGCTATTGGTCCTTTGCCTGAAAAGAAACTTATAGTTTGTCAGAATTGCAAAGGTGAGTTTCTACCCTTTTCTAGCTTTATTGAGATGTATCAATTTTGAATTTCAAAATGCATATCTCATGATGCTATGTCCTTTGTCCCGGGCTTTTTTTTGGTTTTAGAGCCATTTTTCTCCATGGATGCTGAAAGCTCAGAACCAGTCTGCAGCAAATGTGTTATGTTGAATCTGTCCTCAATTGGCCCAGTGTACTCAACTCGTAAACGGTGTAGGTCTGATTTTGAAGCTTGACAATTCTCTTCTGTTCTTGTAGGCTAGTTGCTCAATTATGCACCTTATATTTTTTTTTACTCTACTGCTCGTTTTTGCATTACTTATAAAATCTCTTTTTAAGCTAAGACCTTTGAGTTTGGAATAATAATTTGTACGTTAAACTGGAGAGCATGAGTGGGATTACTGTGTTTGAAGTCTGAGTTTGATAGTTTAACCTGCATATAGGCTCTAATGGACATGTGATGCTTGTTGGCTATGTTACTCGGACTCGGGTACCCATGTCTGACACGGGTACGTGTCTAATTGTCCAACTCGGCTATTTTGTGAAAATAGTTCTATGATTTTGAACAAAAATGAAGTGTCCAAGTTTCATACCCATATCCGAGTGTCGAGGGTCCGACATGGGTACTTGAGGTAAAATGAAGAGTTCGAGTAACATAGCTTGTTGGAACTATGAAGATTTATATTTTCAAAAGTTTTATGCTTACAAGTCATATTTCTTTTCCTATTACCATGCTCCTTTACGTTTTTTCAATTTTGAAACATTCATCATACTTGCTCCTTTAATATTGTCATACATGTTCTGTTATGAATAATAGTATAACACTATCTTAAATTCTTGGGCATATTAATGTAGACCATTTTCCTAGGAAGTGAGATGAGTGTGAGTGGTGGGCCTTGTATTTCATTCAACACCCTTGTACCCTTACCTTAAGGACTTGGACTTCGATTATAGTGTGGCAATGGATCATGGACTTTTGTGAACTACTCATGGTAACTCTTTGGCACTTGGCTGGGCTAACTACTGTATATTGACTGGATTACATAACATATTGGGCTTGTTTTGCTATGAATTAGTATAACTTAGGCATCATTAATGGCAGAAATTAAGGGTGAACAAGATACTTTCGAGAGGCGAATTCTCTCACAATTTGGCTTAGCTAAGCTAACCCAAAATACTCATTCAATGTAATGATCTCTCCCTAATCTTCTGTTATTTATATAGCAAACTCACTGCCTGCTTTCTTTCCAAGATACTCTAGCAAACTTACTATCATGTTGTAGTGTTTAGTTGAATCCTACAAGATGCTCTGCCCTCTTTCATATATCATAAACAGTTTCTGTAGGTTGATCACCTTTTTCAAGTTTCTATATCTAAAATACTTTTTCATCCTAAAAAAAAATTAAAATTAAAAATAAAAAAATAAAAATTAACTGATAAACTTTTTATCCAATTTGATTCGTTTTCCGTGGATCTATTAATTTATAAAGAGGCAAGTACGGACCATCAATGCTAATATTGACATGTCTGGTGCGTCCGAAGTCTTTCAAAAGTTTATGGATTTCAGAAGTTAGTAGAAAATGAGCCTTCTTTTTCTTTTAAAATTACCTCATTTTTTGCAAAATGGTTTAATTGTCTTTCATTCCAACCAAAATAGAAGTCTATTCATCTTGCCAGGAAGATGGTGGGCTCATATGCCTCCCCTTTGTTCAGTTCATTACTTGTTCATTCTGTGATTATTTGGAAAATTGAGTGACTATTACGTTTAGAGTTATCATTTTGTTTTTTTCCTTTTTTCCATCTCTGTAGTTTAGGGGTTATCAATCTCTTCTGTAAATAGTCAAACCACCATTCTGTCCTAGCTTTTTGATGCTGTGCTGGCCTCTTTTAAGGCAAGTTCAGTATCTCAATCTTCATTACCTTTATGTATAGATATATTTGTAAGGCTGCCCTGGTTCACGAACTCTTTACTGTTATGTTCTTTGGTTTTTCACCTCAAGTATATGTGTAAGACCCTAATTCAAATACCTGGAAATGTGATTTGGTCCAAAGATATGCAAAATAATTGTCATATTGTGGAATCTAAAACCTTGATTCATATCTGTTCCCCAAGGTAGTTGCTGCATGTTTCCGATTAGTGTGGCTTTGAAAACAGTCCTGAACTTGAGTGACTAAAAAGTTTTTCTATGTAGCTTTGTGATTAATTTAAAATTATCTTTTTTTAGAGTTTTCCTTTTTTTCATTTTTTCTTTGGCAAGTGTACTTCTAACTACATTTCATGACTTGTGTGCTGCTGCTGTTTATTCTTATAAACTAACATTTCATAAATTTACTGTTAGCCTTCAGCAGAGTTGGAATCCCTTTTTACACTCAGTTTGTTTGATGGAGAACTCCTAATACAGAGAGTTTTAAAGAGTTACTTTTCTGATCCATGTGTATTTGATGCTAATGATAAAGCTGTTAGAGTTTATCTTCCATGACTTTGCTGTCCTAAAATAAGTTTTCCGTTCCTGGGGGTCTTGTCTTTAAAAACCCTAAGTTTAATAGGACTTGCATAGTCATGTCGGACATGGGTATGTGTCCAAAGGTCAACTGTCTTTATTTTTATTTATTTATTTTTCTTTTTTATGATTCTGGTCCAAAATAAAGTGTCAGGTGTCTATATCCATATCCATGTCTGAAGTGTCAAGGATTTGACATGGGTATATAAGGTGAAATGTAGTGTTTGAGTACCATGGATGAAGACTTTGTCATATTACAAATAAAGCTAGGGGCAATGCCATGGTGGAACTTGGGTTTGACTGTAGAGAGGTTTGTGTATATTTTAAAATTCAGTTTTCATATCACTGGAGGAATATGTGGTTCATCGAATTGTATTGTGGAATAGGAATAAAAAGAGCTGTGTGGCTTATCTTGTTTTACTACCATCATTTCCTAATAATTGGAACATTTACTACTATAGGTGTTTTGAAAAAAGGTATCATTTTTCTTTTGTGTAAAATTTTAGAGCTTAAATTATTAACTTTACCCATAATTGGCCCACAATACTCTCTTGTTAGGTTTTTTGTGGCCTAAATTTCATAAGACCACACTTTTATTGTTAGTGGTTTATTTTGAATTATGAGCATATGGCATGCTTTAGAAATATCGTGCTTAGGTATGTTTAGATCAACTTATTTAAGTACCTTATTACTTGTTTCAGATTACTTCAGGAAAAAATTGAGAGCATTAGACCTTGTTGTTTTATTTGTGAGTTAGCATACATATAAGGTTAAAGTTTTGTTAAATGAGGCAATCAAATTAGACTGGATAAGTTAAAAAAAAAAAAATAAGGTGAATAAACATAGCCTTAGTATTGTGCTTATTGGAAAGATTCACGATTCCTCTAGATTAGCAAACTTTAGAGGTCCTGGAAAGATTCACGATTCCTCTAGGTTAGCAAACTTTAGAAAGGTATCTAATGATGAAATTTGACGCATTTTCATCAATTCAATTTCATGAATCTACACTTGTCGACTTACATCATTTATATATATTGGTGTTAGGGAAATAATTTGGGAGTGATCCACCAATATGATCTTTTAATGTTTCATCCTCCTAGACACTCTGTGTGTGGGGACACAATCTCCCTATTCACTACTACGTTGTGAGTTTTTTCCTACAATAGTGAGAGCCATAATTGTGTAATTCAAGCCTAATAATTTAGTGTTTTTGTACTATCCTACATTAGATAGTGGATATTTGAGTGCTTGTTATTCGTGTATGTTTTGCCTCTATTTGAGAATTTTTACCACGTTAAGTTCCATGTCTTGCTTATTTCTTTTCTTTCCTTCTCCATTTATTCTTCTCAATGTTTACATCTTTACTTTTGCTATGCACTCACAATGACACAACCCTAACGTTTCTCTCCTCTCCTCTTTATCTTCCTTTAATATACTTTTTTTGTATAATTTCATGGATTGATTTGTCCCTCTCTCCTTGCCTATATTCATTTACCAGATGCATGTGTTGCTATTTTAGTGAAGCGGAGGAAGTGTATTTTAATACCTGTGAAATATAAAGTGAAAAAAGGCCTGGTTGGTCTTGTGGTATGTCCTAAAATGGGCGAAAACTTCACCCTTTTTAGAAAATATTTATATTTTTAGAGAGAGTGACTACTAAATATTTTTATGAAAATTATTTATAACTTTTTATTTTTCAGCGGGGATCTTGGGATTTCTGGCTCCCAATATTTAGTAGTAGTCTCTCTCTCTCTCTCTCTCTCTCTCTCCCCTTGCAAGAGAGGCTGCTGAAACCCAAACTTTGACTGCATGGGTTGTATGTTGTTAGTGTATCATGAATCCTGCTATAAGCGGTGATCTCAAATTCCTTACTAATCATTAAGCAGCAAGAAATCTGGGATTGTTATATTTGGTTTTATATCTGTATGATTTGCCAATTTCCATTTTATTTTCTGACATGTTTTGTAATATATTCTGATGTATATAATGATATGTTCCTAGACAAAATCCAAGTTGGTTGGGTATTTTTTTTTTTGAATATGTGTGTGTGTAGAGCCACAAAGGGCAAAGGACTTAGACGGAATTTGATCCCGAGTCTTGGGTACCACCCCTCAAGACTTTAACCACACGCATTGGAGGTTGTTGTCCTATAGAATTTTGTGGGTGAAGTTTTGTTGTGTACCTTATAGGATCTTTTAATATAACATGACATTTGATGATGTCAATTTGGCAATAGGGCTTTAAATGCCAAAAAGCGCTTTTGTTATTGTTGCTGTTCCTGCTGCTGTTGCTGTTGTATCTACTAATTATATGTGTTCTCCTTTTTTAGGTCATCAAAGTTTGTTTTTCCTTCTCAATCAACTTCAGCATGTGACATGGCTCAAGATAGCAGCCCTAAAAATTCAATTGAAAAGTTAGTATCCCTAGTTATATCTTTTTATGATATTTTCTTGTAATCAGCTTGTACCTGACCTTTTAGTTGGGCCCTCTTCTTTTTCTGCTAGTGAATGATCGCAGGTAGTTTTACATATACATTTTTTTTTGCTGTTAATCTTCCATATTACTCATTTAGTTATGTTTTTACCATAATGTTGGATACTTTTATGGTAAATCCAGCTCAGGTGAAGCAATTCTTACTCCAAAGTTGCAAACTTCTCAGGCTGATGTGCCTTATGGTGTGCTTCAAGGCAGAAGTCGAGCAAAATTAGTAAAAAAGTTCGTACTTCACGTTAATTCCTAATTTTTCTTTTGTTCAGCTTATGCTTTCTTTGTATTATTTACCTTTTAATATTCAGTGGGTTGCATATTTTGATGCAATATGAATGTGTACAGGTGTTACCGTAATGGCCTGTAACCTCACATTTGTTTGTTTCTTTGGTGTTTACAGATCAGCAGGTGCTTTTCTTACGCCAAAATTACGCAGCAGTTCAAGGATTGGAAGAATTTCAGAAACAAAGATGTCCGAGGAAATAGTAAAAAAGTATGGGTTACCTTCTAACTTTTTTCAGCTTTCCGCATGCTTACATAATCACCTTTGGACACAACACAACTACAAACCAAAATCTCTGTTGCCATTGTCAGGGTGTAGACTCTAGAGTGCTCTAAATGCATCTAGCCTTACTCTTAATTGGTCAAGACTTTTATAATGTAGTCATGGAAACTGGAAAGTACTAAAAGTAAGTGATATTTTCATCAATTTTGAAAATAGTAGGCAAGAAAAGGGGATATGAGTGCAGAGTCAATTTGTTGATATTGTTGCATGTGATTGACTGGCCTATTTTGGAAAAGTAATGTAGCATAATTAGCTGTCACAATTAGCTTAAATAGGAAGGAAGGAAGTCGGATTGAGAAATGCTATATACAGAGGTGATCAGTGAAAAAAAAAATCTTGACGAGTGTTATTATTGAGTGTTACCTTTTATACTCTGGGAGAGAACAAAGCCTCTCTAAAAGATTATATGATGGTGATGTCAAGCCCAGGATTAGCTTACCCATACTTATTAATTCCTCTCCGGTTTTTTCTTTCTATCTTTTTATGAGACAAATCTTATTTCTGATTATCCTAATTTTAGACCCAAACACCCAAACCCTATATTTCAACTCCCATTTTTCAACTCTTCAGTTGACAGGAACCGCAACTCTATTTGTTGAACCTAACCTTCATAGCAAACAAATCTACACAGGCTGTGACTACTCAATTCAGTTTTCAACCGAACCCATTCCCTTTATTAGTCTACCCAGCGTATGCAACATTTTTCTTCTCTGCCCTTATTTAACCAACAGACGTACACTTTTAACTCCGAGGAAGACCTGCAGCTCACACTGGGTTCAGTTCTGGCTAGTTCTATCAATGGAATGCTGACCAACATCGTAGATTCTGAGAAAATGAAGCTGACTACTATCCACCATAAGGAAAAAGTAGAAGTTTGGGTGGCCGCCTGGCCGGTAAAGTAATAGACTGGTCTATTGGGGAGGGATAATATAGGCTGTTCATATTTAGTTGTTAGAATTAGCTTGAAGAGGAAGGAAGTCAGTCAGATTGAAAAATGCTATATGAAGAGATAAGCGAAAAAAAAAATCATGATATTATTATTGATTGTTTCCTTTAGTATTTGTTTACTTTTTGAGGGAGAGCAAGCCTCTCGAAAGCTTATGTTGTCTTTTATTAGCTATTTTTTTTACAGAGATTAATCGTGGTCATCTTGTTCATTTATCTATAATTTTGATTTTCCAATATGTTACACTGTGGTAAACCACAATGAGTTCATATAGAGAATACTTGCGAGGAAGATTGGGGGGGATACATTGCTTTGAATCCTTTTGATTAAAGTTGATTATAGTGAGAACTAGTTTTGGATGAGGTTATTCAAATGTTAGTTTTTCTCTTCATTAGTTCATGTAAATGCATGTGCCGTTAGTCTTGGGATTTGAGTCTGACTAAAAATAGACATCTTCTTGAATATTAGCCATATTTACTAAGTCTTAGGATTCAGGGAATTCAAATTAGACCATAAAGAAAACTCCGAACAACTTTGGAAATAAATAAACTTATCCAAGTCTACTTTTTGACCTGATTCAATGTTGGTTCTTATACCAAATCCTCAATAAAGCTTTCATAGGCTGAAATGTGGGTTTGTCAATTTACTTGGTTCACTTGGCTGATAAATTGGCTGCTTTTGTTACAAAAATTAGGGAATATATCATGTAAAGAAACTTAAAACTATTTTCCTCAATTCCTGGCATCTATTATATTGAATTTGGGGATGGAATGAATTTCAATAGGTACCGAAAGAAACCTGATTTGCCAGAAACTGTTGCGCTTTGCTTGTAAGGTTTTGAATCTTTATGTATCTCAATTATAACATGCAAAAGCACTTGAATGAAAAATACTACCTCCATCCCGGAACAATCAAATCAGTTTGACCAGTGCAAGATTTTACGCAAAACAGTTGACTTTTTATTTTATTGTGTGTAAGTTGGTAGTGGAGTATTTCTTAAAATTCTTTATTATAGTTAGCGGGAAGTGGATCATTGCTTTTTGAGGGATGTGAGTGAGTATATTACTATTTTCACTTTATTTTAGATAATATGTAATAGTAAATAAAGTGGTCTCCGCATAGAAGTAATAAAAAAATAGTGTGTCTTTTCCTTTTATAGAAGTATTGCAGGTACTAGGAAGGTTGATAAGCTACTGCTATGGCTGATGTCAGCTTGTGAAATAGGCTGTCTAGTGCTTTTGCTGCATGGAAAATTTTGTTAAGTATTGCGCTTTTCATATAAGTATTTAGTTTCTTTTGCACCATCACAGTTACATATCTTATTCTGAGTCATTGCTGAAAAGAATATGATTGGCTGGGTCTCTGGGTGAGAAAGGTGTAAAGTGCTTTAATATTAATTGCTTTTGCATTGAGTATTTGATTCTTTACAGAGTGGTTGAATGAAACAAAGGTTCTGTCCCAATATGATCGTTTTCTCTAAGGAAATAAACCTCCAATTGGGCTTGGCTTGCATATTTTAACTTTTGGGCCTTTTGTAGTTATCTAGTGTTGCTTACTCTTGCCTACCTCAGTGGGCTGATAAATTTATTCATTACTCAGATTTTCTGTCAGCCCCTTTTCTTGTTCCTCAATCTAGGTTTTTATAATCAGCATAAGTATCGCTATTTCTTTCTAACATTGAATCTCCCTAATTGTTGGAAAAGTGTGGTTAGTTAGCTATGGCAAGGTAAGAAATCTGCTATCTACTAGGTTTATTCTTGGGTACAATGTAATTTTCATCATAGCATTAAGCGTTTCTCTGAAACATGAAAAAAATTACATCAATCATTGTATTTTTCATCATTTCAGTGCACAAGATTCATCTATGTCTCCAAAGACTTGTATCAGTCCCGTGGTGGGAAAATCTGCAGGAACTAAGGATCACAAGAAATTGAAGAGAAGGTATGGATCATACATTCAGCTTTATTCCAAGTTTGCATCTTTGAAAAATTCATACATTTTGCTGTGATGTCTATGAATATGATTTGTTTTATCAATTTGAAGTAATTGTTTGGATCTGATTCTTTAAAATTGTTTATCGGTGTGATTAACTCATATTACAGTAAGTCTTGGTGTGTGATTTGATTTGTTTCCCTTAATAGCATGGATCTCATCTAGTTTGTCAAATTAGGTCATCTAAACTAGCCTTGTCTCCGAAGCCTTCACCTGGAAATGCTTGTGCAAAAGTTAAAACAAGGTACATGTTTGAATTCCCTTCAAGGATAAGTGAAATCATCCCTGCAGGGTTTTGATTGATTTGTTTTTGACTCGAAATATTTTCATCTTGTTTGTTTAGGTTAAGAGAAGAAGTTCTGACACCCAAGCCTTCTAAAACTCCCACAACTCTTAAATCTTCAGAGAAGAAGACTAGTGGGAAAATTACAAGAAAGTATGTCCCCTCTCCTTTTTCTTGCTAATTTATATTGTTGTAGGTCTCAGACTCTCAGTTAGAACTGCCATGCTTGATGTTTTGTATGAGTAATTGTCATATCTCTTTAAATCACGAGCAGCTATATCTATGTGAGCTCAACTGTGATGTTTTATGTTTTGTTTTCATGCGCTGATTATACTTTTTTGTTGTTCATTTGACTTTTATGTTCAGAGATCTTCGGCTGCATAAGTTGGTTTTTGAAGATGATGTATTGCCTGATGGAACTGTGCTTGGCTATTATGCTAGAGGGCAGGTTAGTGTAAATTGGGATCAGTTTTAGACTTCCGAATATTGCTGCAATCTTTCTAAGTTTATAGGTATATACTTTTTTTTTTTTTTTTTAATAAATTGTGCAGAAATTACTGGAGGGCTCCAAAAAGGGTTCTGGAATTCTTTGTAATTGCTGTGATACGGTGGTGCGTTGTCTGCCTTTAATTTGACCTTCAATATTGTCATTTTCTTTGAAGCTTGTTTTTTCACATGAAATATTATTCAGGTTAGTGCTTCGCAATTTGAGGCACATGCTGGTTGTGCTTCACGCAGAAAACCGTAAGTTTCATTATAGCATTTTGTGGCTTCTCATTTGGAGTTGTATTGTGTTTTTGCTCAACCCTTTATCCTTGTGAATGATGACAGGTATTGCTATATATACACATCTAATGGGGTTTCACTGCATGAGTTATCGGTAACCCTAATTAAAGATCGTCGTCATTCTGCCAAGTACAATGATGACCTGTGCTCTATTTGTGCTGATGGTGGGAATCTTCTTCTTTGTGATGGATGTCCAAGAGCTTTTCATACGGGTAAGCTATGTCCTATATGTACTTTTTCAACCTTGGGCCTTGAGGGATGAAAGGCAATGCTTTTTTTCTTCTTTTCTTAAGGATTCTGTTAATAATAAATGTTCTTTATGTAATAGAGCTCATTCAGCTATCTGAAATTCCAGCAATTTGTAAGTGATTAAGAAAAAAGGGGTGGCAATCGGGTCGGATAGGGTCACTTTCAGATTTGTGTCACTTCGGGTTTGGGTCAAAAATCCCCAACATGAACCTGACCTGTCTAACTTTTCGGGTCAGAATCCCTGACCCTAACCTGATTTGTTCGGGTTCAGGTCAACCTGATAACAACCTGCTTTGACCTGATTTTGTTAACTATGTTTATTTTAATATAGAAAGTATTAAGGCAATAATTATGACTTTTACTAAAATTTTTCACCCCATTACGTTCATTCGTAATGTGAATTTTACAATTTAATATGGTTATATTTAATATTCATATTAAACTGGAATCTACAAAATACAATTTTAGATGAAATATGAAGTTACATTTTCAAAATATAGCAAAATATGATCAATATGAAGCTTTAAACGCATAAATTTTTAAACCATGAAAAAGCTCTCAACTTGCATGTCCTGCAAAAAAAATTAGAATAATTAAAAAAAAAAATAAAAACAAAACAAAACAAGGATGAAAGGAAAATTCGACATCAATCAATAGAAAAACAAGTAAAGGACACAAAATCAGGGAAAGATAAAAAGAACGAACAAACACAAACGTTTAAAAAATTGACAAAACCAATATATTCAAACAACAGAGAATTTTCAACTAAGGAACAACGACCAAAATAAAACACAACAACAACAACAACAACAACAACAACAAAGCCTAAGTCCCAAAAATGAATTTAAACAACATTAAAAAGAACGATGCGAGTAAAAACGAAGTTTTACCTTAAGTTGATAAAGATTTGAGTGAAAATCTGAGTGAGAATCTCACTTAAAGAAGTTGAGAGGAATTGGTCAGAGAGAAGTTATGAGAGAGGAAGAATGAAAGATGTGGGCATGTGGCAGTGGGTAGAGAATTGAAAATTTTAACGATGTGATTGTCTTCGTTTTGCTATGTGTTACTTGCATTTGAAGTTGTCAAAGCTTTTTCATGAACTTATGAAAGCTTTTTACCACGATTTGATGAATTTGTAAACATGGGAAGTACCCCTTAGAAATCACGAGGATGATTTATTATTACTATCTCTGATAGTCCATTCCTTTTCATGTCTGTTTTTTTCACCTCTCCTGAATTTTTGTACTCTCAGGAGTTAGAACTTAAAAGGATAGTACATGCATCCAAACCCTTGTGGACTTATTTAGACATGATGGCATCAAAAAGTAGATATGCAAAAAGTACTTATTAATGGGCCAGCCCAGTTATACTAATGGATAATGTTTATGTGATTGCCTAATGAGAGCCTCTTATTGTGTTTGTCTCTCTTGGTATGATTTTGTCTTGGCATGGTTTTGTAAAGAGGGGTGAATACTTCATGTTTTTCCGATTGATTAAACAAGAACCTTAGTACCTTACTGTGGATGTTAGTATAAATCCATCATTGCCCTAATTTTTTGTTGATTACACTTGTATTTGGATGAGGTGTGGACTTGGTTTATATACCTCAGTGGTAAAAGAAAGGCTGTTTGCATGCACTACTTGATTCATAACACGGCAGAGGTTTTGTTTCTCTCTGTTATGTTGTGATACTGATGTTCATCTTCCTTTCATAAGTTGGTGTAGTTTCATAAACTATCACTGGTCAAGTATTCATGACTTTCGGTTTCCTTCCTAACAGTTAAATGCATGTGTTTAGTACCTTCATGTCATGATATTAGCCATATAGTAACTTGACCTCTATAATTGTTGTGTTCTGTGCTTTTATATATTTTTTTTAAACGCAGAGTGTGCATCTTTGCCAAGCATACCTCGTGGAAAATGGTATTGTAAATACTGTCAGAATATGTTTGAAAGGGAGAAATTTGTTGCGCATAATGCTAATGCGCTTGCTGCTGGAAGAGTTAGTGGAGTTGATTCTATAGAGCAGATAACAAAGCAGTCCATTCGAATTGTCAACAACCTTGCATCTGAAGTTAGTGCCTGCATATTGTGCAGGTACTACCAATCTTTCTTTTCGTGTTTTTAGATGATCTTTAACATGCAAGTACAAGTAAGCTTATATGAGAAGGGTCAATGGTGATTACTTTTTAGTTTTTTGTTCAGTTTGCCTTTTATATCCCTTTTCATGTGTGTTATGCATGGATGTGGATGTTGTGGAGTCAAACAAATGCCATGTCAACCTGATAATATAACTTGTTGAGGCTATTTCCTGATAAGTTGTGGGAGGAGTGGCATGTGTGGATGAGTTGGTTTTGTCAATGCTGCATCTATGCACCTGTTCTGGCTGTAAGTTCAGGCCAAAATGAATATTTTGATCATAACTTAAAGCTGAATGTTAGCATTAAGCTTCCATATTTTGGGTTTCTCATGATAAGAAGAGATTTGCCTGTAATTAGGATCTTAACTTTTTAGTATTTCATTAATTTGGGTTGTTATGTATGCATGCCTATAACTTTGCTCTCTTTAAAAATTGATCTTATGTATGCTATAGTGCATTTAACTGTAGTTTGTGTGAACTATATCTGCTACAGAGGTTTTGACTTTTGCAAGACAGGATTTGGGCCTCGTACAATTATCCTCTGTGACCAGGTATCTTTCTCATTTCATTGTTTTTTCTTGTGCCTAAACCATTACTATTAACTTAGTGGTCCAAGCATGTCTTAGTTTGGGTAAAATCTTTATTATGAGCTTGGCTTCAAATTTCGGATGCGATCTCAATGTCAGTGGTGTTACTACTTTTGTGGGCCATGTGAACAATTTGCTGTTGTGAGACCTGCGACCTAATATCTCAGTCATGCTTAAAAACCTTTACAATGCAGTGATGCTGTCGGGGATTAATACCATGATTCTGGGCATGTCTGTTCAGTTGGGTGCCAGCTTTTCTTCACTCTTGGTTTTAATTTAAAACAAAATTGTGAAATACCCTCAAATCATATACAATGAAATTCTGGCCAAGATTTTGCTCAAATGGCCATATGGACTTGGTGGCATGTGGCAATTCTCTAGGGTTTATATATGTATTATCATTTTTAGTCCAAGGTTAATATATTTTGTGCGTAAAATCCCCTAATTGTGAATTTGTATCCTTCAATCTTCTGTGATATACCAAGGGAAGAAAAGAAGCTTCATTAGAGACCAAACTGTGGCATATGGCGGTTCTCTAGGTTTTTTAATTTTTTTTTTATACATCTATTCTAAGTCTGAGCTTCTTTTGTTTTGTGCATAAATTTCCCTAATAGCGTACTTGTATCCTTCAATTTTTTGAAATATTCCATGGGAAGAACAAACTTTCTCAGCACCCTAACCTTGGGAAAGTGGATAACTCTTAAGAGTTTCTGAAGATCCTCTCTGACTTCATAGCTTGCCATGTGACTCATGCCCTTCCATCCACTGCCCCTTGTGTGTCATTACTTTCCTTTTGTGCTGGCTGTTCTTTCTCCTCTTTTTTCCCCTCACTTTTTTCTCTTTTATTTTTTAATTCTTCTTTGCTACTTCCATTTCTTATTATTTGCAACGATTTGACATAAAGTGTGAGTAGAAAATTTCTAATCGTTGCAAATAATATGAAACAGAGGTAGTATATGTTTTAAAGAAATGTTCATGTTGGAAGCCAAAGCTGCCTTCTTGTGCAGAATCCTCTACCATTGGGGAGCAAGTGCTCAAATTTCTTTTCCCTTTAAGGCCTTGCTCAGATTGGTATCCTTTTTTTTTTTTTTTTTTTTTTTTTTTTGTTGGGTGGGGGGGTGGAGGGGGAGGTTTATTTTTGTGGGAATTAGGGGGTAATTTTTCTTAAGAAATAGGGTGGGCATGTCTGGGAAATATTTATCAGAGTAATCATGACTTGTGTTTGGTGTTGTGGTTTCTATGTCTCAAATGAAAGGATGAAACCCTTTTATAGAGATCCAAGTTGAATGTGATGCAACAAACTCCTTAACTGCTTTACATACAACATTAGAGGAAAATAGAAAAGAAAATTTCATTTTTGTGTGACCCAAAAAAAAAAAATTGGAATTCAAAGTGGAAAATAATTTGAGAAAGATTTAGAACCCTTATAGCAAGCAAAATTTGATTATTAGAAGTCAGAATTCTCGAAAATCAAAACATAAAAAAGAAACAATATATTCAGAGTGCAGATAAACTTGAACTCAGAAATGATAAATTATCAAAGATGAAAGTAATGGTTTAAAATGACTTCAACCATGGAGGATCCATGATCCTTGAAAATACAAAAAAGAAAAAGAAAAATAATTGAAACCAAAATATCAAAATTTGTAATCACCATGAAGGTTGAGGGATAAAGATAAGAGGAAGGAAGAGATGAGAAAGAAAAGAATGAAGATGGTGTCAGACAACCAGTCAAAATAGCCAGAGGAGGAATAGATATTACGTGTTTGGAATAAATAATAATGGTTCTTTGGAAATGAAAAGCCCAAAAGATTTACTTTTATGGATTTATCCAGGTGGATGTTTCAATCTCACAATAAAATATCCCCATATTTGCTACAACTCATTGCTCACAGTCCAGGCGACCTCTTAGAGGTATAATAGGCATTAGATTTCTGGGATTAATTCTTGAATTTATTGTCTGACTTGATTTCATTTAGGGTATCACTCCTTGTTGCTCTCTTATGAGAGAGTGATATGCATTTGCAATATTGACGCCCTCCCAGTCAAGGAGGCCCGTTAGGTAGAATATGCATTAGATTTTCTGGATCAATTCTTGAAGCAATTTAGTCTGTGATTTGTATTCATTGAGGGTAACAATCTTTGTTGCTTTCATATGATAGACTGATGCGTATATTTTCTGTATTGACAAGGGAGGGGTGTAGTTTTCATGGATTTACTGAAGTCAATAGTTAATTGCAGATCAGATGGAAAAAAAGGTTGTGAGTGTGGAATAACAATATCAACTGTTGGGGGTTGGAACCAACATGGTGCCCAACTAGGTAGTGAACACATACACAAGTGTGCTCGGGGATGTGGGACATGTTTTATATGCCTGTTTATGTGCCTGCTTTGTAAATTTGCATCGGACTGGAGTTCCATCGATTAAATGAATAATTGAATGTCAAAGAATTACCTAATAAAATTGTGAATTGAATGCTTTTGAAGTAGAGGCTATAGTACGATTTCTATTGAGTTTTCCTTTAGTCTTTGATCAAGCTGTTTGCTTATTTAAAATTAATTTTGAATTCTTCTCTTGTCAGTGTGAGAAGGAATATCATGTTGGTTGCTTAAAGGATCATAATATGGCAGACCTTACGGTATGCATCCATCCAATAATATCATACACATCTTATGAATTATCTCCTCCTTTTCTTATCTGCAATTTGATTCAAGCTTGAGATGATGGTGTCATCATGGTTCAGGAATTGCCGGATGGGAAATGGTTTTGTAGCATGGATTGTAGAAGGGTTGAATCTTCTTTGCAGAATCTTCTGGTTCGAGGAGTTGAAAAGCTTCCTGAATCTCTTGTGGATATCATCCGGAAAAAGAACATGCACATTGGTTCTGATAGTGGATCTGATTTGGAAGTAAGCTGGAGACTTCTCAGTGGAAAGGTTGCATCTCCTGAAACTAGACCTTTGCTCTCGCAGGCTGTAGCTATTTTCCATGTAAGGCTTTTAGGTGCCTTTATTAAGAATGTCTAGATTATTCTAATAATGTTGTTCTGTGTTGACTTTATGTTTCATAGGTGTACTTGTGTAGTATGACTATGGAAAATTAATTGTATTCTATCTTCAAGAATAGAATTTTTGGGCTTGTGCTTCTTTATTAGAATTTCAAATTGTATATGATTATGGCAATGATATATAGGTGTTTTTTTTTTTTTTTTTTTTTTTTTTTTTTTTTTTTTTTTTTTTTTTTTTTTTTTAAAAAAATAATCTTCTTAGTTCCTAAGCTCTTTTCTTCATCCTTCAGGAATCTTTTGCCCCAATCATTGATGTGGTGTCTGGACATGACCTTATACCTGCAATGGTTTATGGGTAGGCACTTTTTCCTTCTAAAATGAGTTCCAATTGCTGCATTATATAGGTAAACCTTAACCTAACACGATTGCTTTGTTAAATTCAATTCTTTCTGACAGGAGGAATGTAGGTGGCCAAGAATACGGAGGGATGTACTGTGCTGTGTTAACTGCCAAGTAAATAAGCTCTCTTTGTTATTCTATTCAACACATTATGATATTGTGACCTTTTGGCAACTTGACTTTTTTTTAAATCACTACGTGCAGCAAAGTGGTTGTATCAGCTGGAATATTCCGAATTTTTGGTCCAGATGTTGCAGAGCTCCCATTGGTCGCAACAAGCAGTGGTAATCATGGCAAAGTAAGTAGTCTACTGAGAAGTAATGACTTGTCTTAATTTTTTGTACCCTTTGGTATGGCATCACCTCCACCAGTAATGATATCCATCCATTATATTTAGGTTATTTTAATATTGAGATCTGTTGCTGGTGTGACACTACAAGTTTAAGTTTAGCTTTGCCCCCACAAGATGTCCAACTAAATTTGCAATTTTCAAGTATCAATAACGTAAAATACTTTTATCTATTAGTCAGCCACGCTTGGCAATGCATTACTAATTAAACCATTAAATTGTTACTGGTACACAATTATAGATTTTAATGGTCAAACAAATGTCTTGGCATGCATGAAAAGTGCTTGTGAGGGAGTTATAAAGACTAGTCAGAGAAATTCAATAAAATATAGTCCTTGGTCCTGCCTAAAGTAAACACACTCAAGATCAGGGAAGGTATGGGGGACTAGATCAAATGGTCAGAATCCCAGTTGGATTAACTGTATTGGTTTAGAAGTGGTATTGTTTTCTATCAAGGGCCCTGTTCTTGGAACATTTTAGGCCCTGTTTCTCGTGTCTTGTCACTTTTTAATTGTTCTAAAAACCACCTTCTCTTATTGATACACTTGAGCATTAGGTTGCCTTGAACCATAATAATCGTCACTTTTTGCATCCTACACTCTTGGTTGTGTTATTACTGTATCCTAACCCTCTTTTTACAAGTTTGCACATCTAATGACTCTTCCTCATCTTTATTCTTTAATACATCCTATCTATGGAGACATTGTCACCTTAATTTATCAATTGCTTTATAAACTATGAATTATTAGGTTGCTTCCAACTCAGCTAAAAGTAGGCATCTCTTTTACTTAAATTCATCCTTGAACTGGTGATATTGCACCTTCATAAGTTAGGCATTTCCTGATAAAGTGATTAGGCGTTCTGAATGTTCATCAACCTTCTTGTAGGGTTATTTTCAAACACTATTTGCATGCATAGAGAGACTCTTGGCATTCCTTAAAGTTAAGACCATAGTGCTTCCAGCAGCAGAGGAGGCAGGATCTATCTGGACAGATCGTTTTGGTTTCACAAAGATGACGCTCGACCAGGTAAAACTTTCTGAATGTTTGTATTTTTACCTCCAATCTTCTACTGTATTGACATCAAATAACAATGCTTACTATTGCTGCAGCTTCGTGAATTGAAGAGAAATTTTTGGTCATTAGTACGATTCCAGGGAACCTCTATGCTTCACAAGTTGGTTCCAGATTGCCGTGAATGTGGAAGTCTAGCTGAATAGTTAGCTTGTAAATTAGCAGAACTTGGTAGAAGACCACATTCTAGGGAATCCAATTTACCCGTATACAGGCAGGGATTTCATTTTTCGTTGATTATTTAGAGTAGATTTCCAGTTTTAGGATCTGTTTTTCCTTTAAATTTATGAAGAATGGTTTAATTATGGGCACATTCTGTATAATTTATTTTTTTACCTTTTAACGGTAGCAAAAGCTCTGTAATTAATTATGCTTTTCAGCTATTTGACAGTTAAGGTCAGTTTTTACAGTAAAAAAGAAGAGAAAAGAGGAAAGGAGGGTAGGGGGAGAGTTGATGGATGGGTTGTATTATTGTTTAATCTCCTGGATTGTGGAATGGAGTTGTTTTATCTCCTTTAGTTTTAAAAATAGTGCAAAAATTTTGTTCAGCTGCTCAGCAATTTTTGAGCCTATGATAAAGTTGTGTTTTGCTGTGCAAAATGCTGATAGCTGTTGCATGGGTCAACTGATTTATTTATTTATTTTTTATTTTTTGAGTATGGTTCATGATGCGTATTAAAATGGGCCCTTCGACAATACTACGCTCGCGGTTTCTTTTCTATTGTCCTGTTTTACTTTTATACGTAGTATCATAGTTTTCAATGTACACTTTTAAACATAACTGTATTCAAGTACTTGCATGTTATATATAAAATACAAAAAATTTAGTACTTGAAAATTATACATTGTAAATTTGTAATGAATCAAACAGGTATGACGACTAAATGTTATTTTCCTTTATAAATTCTTTTTGGAAAATTGATTTCATTTGTATTCAGACAATAAAAAAGAAACGGAGTGGATTATGATTTTTTTTTTTCTATATTAATGGGTACAAATTTCTTATAGATGATAGTTTACGTAAGCTAACGTAGGCCATAAATATAAGTACTAAAGTATGAGCTAGTTTTCTTCGAAATGAAAAAAAACAAGTATTACCAGGAAAGATTTACATTGAGATCCATTCAATTACTTTCATTTATTACCACTTACCAATTAGGACGTCAAGAACTTAGTTGACATAGGTTATGTTTGGCAAAACTAGCGGTAGCGGGTAGCTTTTAGCAGTCGAGTAGCGGGTAGTTGTTAGAGTAATGAGTAGCTGTGAATTAGTAGTGGGTAGAGGTTAGTTGTCAATGTAGCGGTTAATAATGGAGTGTTTGACAAAAATTGCTGTTGAAATGCTAAAAAATAGTTTAAATATATGCATAATATTTAAAAAGTAAACAAAATTTGTCAAAAGCTACCCGCTACCTTTCAAATGCTAATATTTAACGTTTGACAAAAGCTACCTAAATGGTACCTCCACCACTAACCGCTACATGACACGTTACCTTACCAAACACACTTAATTTTTTTTTACTAATGTTTTAATTTGATCCACACGCTAACTGCTACCTTAAATGCTACTGCCAAACAGGGTCATAATTGTACTGAAAACATGCATTACCTATAGCACACATAATTAGGAGTACTGGTAAAGCAGGGAGGCGGGGACTCGTTCATACGACGAAGATACTCGTTGTACTGTGGCCTCTATGGGCATGCATGGAGTTACGGCTAGAGATAGCATCCACTTTGGTGATTGATTTTAGGTGTGTATGGGTGCGACACTGCAACTTGTGCCAATGTGTTACTTCAACTCAATGGATAGGTGGGTTAGGGCCGGGACTTAGGGTTGGGGGTGGGAGTGGGGGGAGTATGTTTGTGACTTACTACATGGGATCAAGCATCAAGGGCTTAGGAGTAAGTTGGCAAAAGTAGCTTAGGGTTATGATGGAAGATGGTGGAAATTCCACAATGAAGTTTAACAATTTCTTACGGGGTATTTCATTATTGAAATTCAATTCAAATCATGTTAAAATCAGGTTACGCCAATTAATTTTACATCAACTAATGATATGTTCAATTCACCTCATGATTCGAACTCATATTATCTTAGCTAAAATTACCTAATTTTATCTGAACTTATTGACCAAAACAGATGAACAAAACCGGTCCTAATAATTTTAGTAATTTGAATTAGGTCAAAACATATTGGCCGGTGCTAGATATCCCTTTTAAGCTAAATTACTACAATGTTATAAAAACCAATAATTAGTTCAATTACCATCAAAATCAAGTAGATTGAATTACCACCATATCTTGAGAAGAAGTCAAAATGTACTTGCTGAGAATGACACCCATACGCATCTAGCACCTTGCATTTCTTTCATCACCTCCATCATTCTCCCTTTCTGTTGTTTAGCGTATCCATCTAACAATCTTCTTTGCTGCCCATTACCCTTTTTCCTACCCTCTTTACTTTCAAGCAAGAAAAGAAATGTCATATTAATCTATTATTTCATTATTAATAATAGTAATTCACCATTGCATGAATTCATTTCTTTTACGCTAATCTCCCTACACTACTCCTCACAAAGTCATCACATGATCACATACTATATAAGAATTAGTCATTTCCCTTCATTGCTTCATCATCTTTAACCCGAAACGAGCCGAGCTTTAATCATGAAACTCAAAGGCTTGTCTTTGTTTTGGCTCTTAGCCTTTGTCATTGCACTTCTTTCTATTGCATTCACCCTTTTTATGAACTCTTCATCTTCTAATTTACCCCTTGTCATTAATAAACAAGCGCGTACTTTGGATGACTTCCTAGGTGTTCTTAAGGAATTTGGTGACGGTGTTTGGAGAAGACATCATCATCATCATCACCACCATCACCACCATCACCCGAAAAGGCCACACGAGACATGTAGTGAGTTGAAATTGGGGTCTATGTTGCCATCTTTATACCGCGTTTCTCTTACTTTAACGGTTGGTTTACATGGTTGTGGTAATTTTAGTAGTGTACAAAAAGCAATTGATGCTGTGCCAGATTCTAGCTCTTCTTCCACTCTCATCATTGTAGACTCTGGAGTATACAGGTTAGTCCAAAACTTAATATACATTTATAAACTTATTCCGTTTTTACTTTTGAGTTGACTTTTACACTATTCACATACTTCATTTTGACTAATTTTAGTAATTCATAGCTAAGGAAAATCAAAGTAATGTGGGATATTGTTAGATTTATATCGGTTAATGCTTTCATAATATATAATTTTTATTGTATTTAATAATTGGTAATTAAAAATATTTATGATTGAAATAATGCCTTAGCAAGCGTGAAATGGAAATGTTGCAAATAAAATAAAAACTACAAATTGAAATGATAGATAAATGAAAGTTATTTAAGTGCCATGTAGCTAATCACCTAGGTCAAATTATAATACTACCTCCGTTTTATAATTTTTGCATCGATTTGACATAAAGTGTGAAGTAGAAAAAGTCTAATAATCATTGTAAATAATATGTAACAGAAGTAGTTGTTTCTTTTATGCTTAGAGTTAGATGAGTTAATTGCGTGCATGATATCTACGTATGATGGCAGGGAGAAGGTGACGATTAATGCTAACAAAACCAACTTGATAATCCAAGGTAAAGGTTATGAAAGCACAATAATTTCATGGAATGACACTTCGAAATCGACCGGCGGCACGGCTTACAGTGCCTCAGTCACAATTTTTGCTCCAGGATTTACAGCTTACAACATCAGCTTTCAGGTAAATATATAGCTTGGGCATGCACTTATTGAGATTTAGCAAGTAACTATATTAGCAAATTTTTAATGATTTTGAATTCTTAATTAAACAGGACAATCGTGTCTTAAGATAATGTTGACTTGTTGAGAAGCAAATGGCCAATGATAAACTTTATTTTACCCGTCTATATAAAGAAGCAATGTAAATAGGGACATAAGTCAACCTTGTCGATAAAGAGTTACAAATAGGTTTTATTTATTCACTATGGTGTGTGAATTTAGACACTTTTGATCGTGTAAACTTGAAATTCTAATGATTTCTAATCATCTACAAGAAGGTAAACAAAGAATATATTTTGGGTAAGAAAAAAAGTAGATATATACAATCTTAGTATCCACTATTTTGTTGGATGACCCCTAGGACTCTTCATTAGCATTATACAGATATCATAAAATGGTATGGAGTTTATGATTACGAATTCATGCATCATTCAGTGTCATAATAGGCATAGGCTTACAATTTGACTTTCGAAAAACTGAATATGTGTGAGTCAAAGTGTAATACTTAGGAAAACAGAAAGAGTAATCAAACGTGTTATTTGGAGACCGTGAAAAAGCAAATTGTGCAAACAGTTTGAAACGGAGAGAGTATGTATATTGTTTTTCACGCACTAGGAAATTATGTACTTCGTATATAGTACTTTGTAATAACCTTGATTGGGTGTTTGAGAAAAGAATACAGCACCTCAACCATCTCCAGGAGATGAAGGAGGGCAAGGAGTGGCACTAAAAATATCAAGTGATGAAGCTGCCTTTTATGGTTGTGGATTTTATGGGTCTCAAGACACACTTAATGATGATCGTGGCAGGCATTACTTCAAGGATTGCTTCATTCAAGGTTCTATTGATTTCATTTTTGGACAAGCTAGATCACTCTATGAGGTTATAGTTAACTCTATACTCTTCTATCGTTATTTTTAAGTGTTACATTTTGCCTACAGGTTTTTTCTTAGCGTTACTCTTTTTAATATTATACAAGTATTTCTTTTATCTCATGGTGCTTTCACTTCGCTTACTTTTGAATAACCTCATCCCCTACACTTCTTATTATCCCCATAACTCTATTTATATCTTATATAATGAATTCCACTCAACCTATTAAAACTCTTTGCTACTCAGATGTTAACAATTTAAAATAACAAAAGGTGTAATATTACCTCTATTTCATATTATTTACAACTTTGGGTATTATTTGAGATATAAGATATTCAAAATTAAGTTACAAATAATATAGTACTGAGATAGTAAATTGTTATTTGTGACATGTAATTAAGATATGATTGGCTAATTGATTGCTATCCATTTTTTTTATTTTTTATTTTTTTTTTATTTGGGGAAAATGTTAGGCAGGAATACTATAAATCAGAATCTACTAAAAGTACAAGACTATGAGGAAACGGACCCATACAAACAAATTCAGAGCAACCACGAGTATCCCATCTTGCTACAAGGTGGGCGACTGTGTTACTTGCCCTTCTAAGATGAGACGAAATAAAAGCATTAATACACTTAGATAACATGCTAATATCATCATAAATTAACCAAATCGGTGAGCAACCTCTGGAACCGTTTTTGATTGCAGCACACACAGAAGAAGAATCACCTTCCAGCCAGACCTGCGACACACCCAGGCGCCTAGCCACCAAGAGCCCAAAACGCACAGCTCCTGCCTCAGCACACTCTACCTCCCACACCCGCTCAAGTTTTCTAATCGCAGCCCAAATGAGCTCGCTCTGATGGTTTCTCGCCACTGCTCCTAACCCCATATAGGAAGTACCGACATGAGCATCCACATTTACCTTTATAAAACCTTCTGAGGGACGTTGCCACGCATTTAAAAAGGGACTTGCACTTCGAGGTTGGCCGGTGAAGACTTTCTTCGCATACATACAATAGTCTGCAACAAGCTTGACATAGCTGGCAGCCGTTTGAGAAGCATTTAGAGACAAACCCTCATGAACCAACTTGTTCCTACGAAACCAAAGGGACCATACCATGGAACATAACACACGTAACTTATCCCGATCTAGTTTACCAACAAGCCACACAAGCTTTAAACGGAAAGAGGAGTTTGGAGAATCATTCAAAATAAAACGAAATTGGCTGTTATTCCAGACCTCTAGTGCTGCATCACAATCAAATAGCACATGAATGATAGATTCAACACCACCAACACACGCCCCACATAAATCATCCCTCGCTATATGCCTTCGAAAGAGCTCTTGCTTGACCGCATCACACCCCTTACACATCCACCATAAGAAGTGGCTTAGTTTTGGAGGACCACCTAGTCTCCGAATAATGCGCCAAGACTCTTGTTCCTCATCCCCAACTCCATCATCCACGCCATAAATATGACCCACTCTTCCTAGCCAGTATCTAGATCTTACATTGTAAACGCCATCTTTGGAAGGCCACCAAAACAACGAATCAACAGGCATAGAGTTAGCTAAGGGTATTTAGAGAATGGACTTATAATCGTTAGGTGAGAATAAGTCTCGCAGCGCCTTAGTGTTCCAGCAAGCAGAAGGAGCGTCAATTAAATCTGAAACTCGCAAACCTGGATCATAATGTGGACCATGTGTAGGAGCTTTTGCCGGTGTCCCTGGAAGCCATGCATCCAGCTAAACATGAACATTCATTCCATTTCCTGTCCTCCACCGAAGGCCTTCGAGTAACAAAGATTTGGAACCCCACAAACTACGCCAACTATAACTCGGATCAAAACCTCTATAAGCCTCCAAGATCCGGCAATGATTGAAATAACGAGCCTTAAGAATTGCGTGGAGCAATGAGGACTGGTCCGAATAAAGTCTCCACATTTGCTTGGCAAGAAGAGCTTGGTTAAAGACTTTAAGGTCACGGAATCCCATGCCACCCTTCAATTTTGGCTTACATAAGTTATCCCAACTAAGCCAATGCATTTTCCTATCAGAATCCGAGGAACCCCACCAAAACCTTTCCAATAATGAATGAATTTCATCTAGGATTCCGTCCGGAATTTTAAAAATACTCATCACGTATGTCGAGATTGCTTGAGCAACAACTTTAATCAGAGTTTCTTTCCCGGGTCTCGATAATAACTTCTCTTTCCAACCTTGAATTTTCTTCCAAATCCTTTCTTTCAGCCTAGAAAAAATCACCTTTTTTGATCTTCCAATGATAGTCGTCAACCCTAAGTATTTCTCATGCTTTACCACTTCCTTAACTCCCAAAATGTCTACAATTTCTTGCCGTCTTGATAAGTCCACACATTTGCTGAAATATACATCCGTTTTGTTTAGATTGACACTTTGTCCGGATGCTCTCTCATATTTGCTGATTAAATCAGCTATCATAGAGCATTCTCTAACATCTGCTCTAGCAAACAGTAAACTATCATCTGCAAAAAATAAATGTGACATTCTAGGAGAGCCTCGACAAATCTTCACCCCATAGATTAGATTGTTACTAGCCACTTTAGATATCAAAGTCGTAAAGCGTCGGCCACCAAGAGAAATAGATAAGAGGAAATGGGATCACCTTGCCGCAAACCCCTTGACGGAATAATAGAACCAGACATCTTCCCATAGATCTCGACAACAAAAGAAACAGACGAAAGCCAGTCTACAAACCGCCGCACCCAATCATCGCCAAAACCCATTTTGTACATGAATTTTTCAAGAGAAACCCATTCAACCCTGTCATAAGCTTTAGTCATATCCAGTTTCATAGCAATCGAACCAGCCTTACCTTCACCCTTCCTCTTCATAGCATGAAAAATCTCAAATGCAACTAAGGCATTATCTGTAATCAATCTTTTTGGGACAAAAGAACTTTGATTTATAGTGATAATGTCTCCTAGGAAAAGTTTCAACTTATTTGCCATAGTATTTGAGATAATCTTATATAACACATTACAACAACTTATCGGACGAAATTCCGTAATGCGGTTAGGATTGTTGCATTTGGGAATTAAAACAACACAAGTTTTATTGACCTCCGATAAGTTAACCAATCCATGCCACCAGTTCTTCACAAAACAAATATAATATCAGAACCAACAATATGCCAAAATTTCTAAAAGAATAAAGCATGCATACCATAAGGACCTGGAGCCTTGTTCGAGTGCATTTGAAATAGTGCGACTCTGATATCCTCATCTGTAGGCTCAGCATTCAAAAAATCATTCATTCTATTTGTGACTACTCTGTCAATCCCCTCTAATGCATGGTCAAAGTTGGCAGGTGAATCCGATTTAAACAGTTGACGAAAATATTGCGTCACTAAGCTCTCCAACTCCTCCCTACTCTCCCGCCACTCTCCATTATCATCTAGTAAGCCCTGAATACTGTTGAAGCGTTTACGTTGGCTTGTTTTTTGATGAAAATAAGACGTATTTTTATCCCCGTCTTTCAGCTCATTTGCTCTTGATCGGGCATGCCAGTAGGACTCCTCCAATCTATGCAAGTCGTCTAACTTTGCGGCACGAGATGGGGACTGGTGTAACATGTGCGCATCAGGTGCTCTACCCTGCGCCACATTCAATTTCTCTTTGGTATCTTTAATCCTCTTTTTAATATTACCAAAACAACGAGCAGCCCATGAAGTAAGCTTCTCTGCACATACTGACACACGAGTAGTTGCTTACTCACCGATGCAGCTTGCCCAAGCCTCAGCCACTACCTCTTCGCATTCTACACTACACAACCACAGAGCTTCAAACTGAAATATTTTTCCTTTTCCCGTCGATCATAGGAGTTGCTAGCGTTGAGCATAATCGGGGCGTGGTCTGATCGATAAATAGGAAAATGATATACTTCAAACCATTAGAACAAAGAACACAGTCCGAGTCGCCTAAAAATCTATCTAGACGCTCCCTCATGAAAGTCTCCAGGGAGTTCCCTCTATGCCACGTAAAAGAGCTACCCTTAAATCCCAGATCTCTCAAGCTACAATCATCAATAGCACCCCTGAACGCATCCATAAGCCTTTCCCCACGAGGTACTCCACCATCTTTCTCAGCCAAAGAAACAACCTCGTTAAAATCTCCAAACATGATACACAATATCAAACTTTTTGCTTTTAGATGGGTCATCAATGACCAAGTAAGATGTTTGTTTTCCTGCTTCGGCCACCCATACAACCCTACAGTTCTCCACACCGGGTTATTATTATGACCGCAAATATCAGCCGCAAAATGATGAGTAGAAAAAGAAGTAGTCGACACGTTGATGTCCCTCCACCAAAAACCAATGCCACCTGAGTTTCCAACACTACTAAGACAAACACCATTTACAAAACCACAAATATTTCGAATTCTCTCTAAAGCGACACTAACATTGTTTCCATTAGGAAAACTATGTTTGGCCTCTTTCTCCAACACCAGTCTTGGAGAGCTTTAACTGTCTAAGGGTTGCCAAGCCCCTGACAGTTCCAACTTAAAATTTTCATGGCTGTTCAAGAGTTTGGCCATCGCCAACACCCTCTACTTGATTGATCTTGTCTCTAGAGCTAGCATCCCCCTTCACTTTTTTCACCATATATGTATCAGAAATGGAGTTATTGGATTCAAATAACTGATTTGACTCCACACGAGTCCTTTTTACACCCTTTTTACTGCCAAAAAACAACTCCTCACTATCCAACATAACCAGATCCCCATCCCCCACTCTTTTAAATCTCCTCCACTTCCTACCCCAACTAGGCTTCGGAGGATGATAATGAGAAAAGCTAGAAATTTGTGATCCGAGACCTTAAGTCGAGATGGAAAAGTAGTAGGACAGATGTCTGGAAGTTGTTTACTTGCTACTGACCCCCCTGACTAATAGTCCTATCCATAAGGCTAACATGAAATGTCGGAACTATGAACTTCTCTTCAGAAATTTGACAAGCCTTTGAGCTAAGTGTGGTCGGTCGAAGAGAAGCACTCAAGGACTCATGGGGTGGATCTGCTTGGTGCTTTGAGCCACACAAAGATACCATTGGAGAAAGAGAGGCTTCTACAACCTTAGGGACATCATTTAGAGGAACCTCAATCAAGGATTTAGACTTACTAGGAACAATCTTAACAGCCATTACTGACAAAGACCTATGATGGTAAAAATTGAGCTCGGTTCCTAGCATAAGGCACTGCAAGCTAGTGGATGAAATATGAAGAAATGAACCCTGACATTGACGGGAAACATACCTATACTTGCGCAAACTATAACCCGACTTAATTGACTCTAGGAGGGGACTCACTTTCCACTCTCTTAGAAGTCGTAACATCTATCATTGGGGTGGAAATAGGCTGAGAACAACTATAGAAAGGGCACTGAACTTCACACTCCATAACAACACCACAACACAACTTTCCAAAGATTGAAACAGAAGAAAGTGGTAACAACTCTTCCAGAAACACACCAACGGCAGGGTAACAAACCACCTTAAAAGTATACAAGCTGCCTCAAAAACACAAAGGAACTCAAAAGGTGCAGCGAAGAAAATAGGATAGGAACACCTATCTTAAGAAAACATGGGAAGCACCCAATGCTTGCCTAGAGGTGGTGCGTGGTTCGGAAGCTTTGCCTCTGTTTTCGACCTTTATTTCATAGACTATTATCACACTTAAAAATATCTTAATACTCTTTTAGTTCACACTTTTTTTCTTTTTGAAAGACTTATTAATTGATTGCTATCTTAGGGAAGGTCATTGATCATTGATAAGAAGGTATATGTGGAACAAATAAAATTATTTGCATTGTCATCATTTATGTAACCCATTGTAACTCTTCTTAAATTCCTTTAAATCTAAAAATTGACTCCCTTCATTCCTCCTTTGAAAATAGGACACTTGTCTAGCTTAAGTCACCCATATGGGAAAATAATAAGCCATTTTCTAAAATTTGGTAAATTTGACAAAAAATTCTCTACCCCTACCTATAGACTACTTATTTTATCCCAAGCTCTTAAATTATTTTCCTGAAAAAAAAAAAAGAACTCTTTAATTTACTCCTTTTCCATGATATCTAGAAGTAATCTTTTTTTTTTTTTTTTTTTTTTTTTTTTTTTTTTTTTTTTCAATCTAATTATTCAAAATACCCTTGTGATAAGAACTTTCAACATTATAGTACCTCTAAATGATGTTCTTACTTTAACAGTAGTTGATTAGTGTCACGAAAAAAACATTTTCATTGAAATATATGTTTGTGGGTTTTAGTGCCTCAATTAGAATATTCTTAAACTAACAAATAATGAGACAAGCTTATTCAAATTAAATGGTTGTATTTTCATTGTAGAATTGCACGATTAACTCGATAGCTGGGAATGAACAAGGGGTGGATGGATCAATAACGGCACACGGGAGACAATCAAAAGATGAAAACACAGGATTCTCCTTTGTGAATTGCAACATTGGAGGAACTGGTAAAATTTGGCTTGGTAGAGCTTGGGGACCCTATTCAACAGTTGTGTTTTCCAAGACATACATGTCCGAGGTTGTTTCTCCTGATGGATGGAATGATTGGAGAGATCCCTCTAGAGACTCGTACGTATATTTTCTCTTTTTAAACATTATTCAGAAACATATAACAAGGATACGATAAGAGAAGTAAAGTTTACTTTTAATGAATGAATGAATAAAGATAAATGTAATATACTTCCTCTGTTTCTAACTATTAGTACGTGATTCTAACAGGACTGTTTTCTTTGGAGAATATGAATGCACGGGTCCAGGAGCAAGTTACGCAAATAGGGTTTCTTATAGTAAGCAACTAAACCAAAATGAGGCAGCATCATATTTGGATGTATCGTATATTGATGGAAATGAGTGGCTTCTTCCTCAGCAAAAACTTTCATTCTATTCTATAGACACCGTTAAAGAAGCTGAATCTATGTAGAGTTAATATACAAATAGTTGTATTAAAATAATTTAATACGTACAGAGTACTACTTGTATGTGCTTACAATCGAAAGATTTAAATCTTTGTAGTTTTCTTTTTCTTTGATTGGGTTTTAAAGAATGATTTCAAGGTGAACTGTAAGTATGATCTTTGACATAATATATTCTAGCAGAATCTGCAGAAAGCTTACATTGGATATATTAAATTGTGCAATTCGTGTCTTTGGAAGTGCATTGAAAGAAACTTGTTATTTTCCAGCATTGTGATGATGAAGAAAAAAAAACCAAGAATAAAAAGGATAAATAAAATGGAAAAAGAAGAAGAATTGGAGCAAAGACATTGGAGGAAGAGGAATTCTACTGTGAGAGGAAAACAGAGAAAAGAGGGGAGTGAGGAGATTGACATTTTAACCGGAAACATGAAACAAGGTATTGTTTTCAAATGAAAATGATGCTTAATGTGCTATTTGATAAAATAATTTAATTGAGGTAAATAATTCACAAAAAGAATGTAAACTAAAGTACTTTTTGACAAATTTACCTTAAAACAAACAAGAAATTTTAAATCACAAGGTCCTCACTTGTTAACAAAAAATTCCGATTGGAAATTCTTTGTTGTCTGAAAGGTAGAGGAGAGCAAGAGAAGACCGAACTTGACCACCAAAACTTATTTCAATCGATGAAAAATTATTGCTTCATCAATTGACGAATGACATATGGAAGGATTCCACCATGGTCGAAATAGGCGAGCTCAACCTACAAAACAATGGCATACAATTATTATTTCATAATTTAGCCAAGCACCGAAAATAAAAACAATCGAATTTTAATTAAAGGATGTTAATTATAATCACCTCTGTGTCAAAGCGGAGGGTGCAAACAAAGGACTTTCCATTGTCAGTTTTTACAGTGACATCTTGTCCCGGTCTAATCTCGCTAACTTTTGAAGGGAGGTCAATTGTGTATCTCTCGTGACCGGTTAGTCCTAATGTTTCGGCATCTTCACCAGCCTTGAAACATAGAGGGATAACACCCATACCTACAAGATTACTTCGGTGGATCCTCTCAAAACTCTTAGAGATCACTGCTTTCACACCCTGTAATCAAATTATTTATTCTCTATTATTAGGCATCTTCATAAGAACAGGAGCAAAGAAACCTAATACACCATTAAAATCCACTTACCTGCAACATTGGACCTTTTGCAGCCCAATCCCTAGAGCTACCACTTCCATACTCAGCACCGGCTATGACAATGGTTTCATGACCAGCCTCCTTATACCTCTGCAATTAAGATTGAGATTGAATGTATTAAGTCTCATGCAATTAACTTTCATTTCTAACAAAACTTAAAAGCCAACATAAATATCATTTTTAAAACAATAGAAAAGAGATTTAGTTTTTACCATAGCAGCATCAAAAACATACAACTTATCCCCAGTTGGAATGTGAATTGTTTTTGGACCCACTTCTCCATTCAAGAGCTTGTTTACAATGCGAATGTTTGCAAAGGTACCCCTTGCCATCACTTCATCATTGCCTCTACGGCTACCATATGAGTTGAAATCTTTGCGATCAACCCCACGTTCAAGTAGAAACTTGGCTGCAGGACTATCCTTGTGGATGCTCCCCGCCGGTGAGATATGATCGGTAGTTATACTGTCACCGACATTAAGAAGACAATAGGCATCCTTTACTCCAAAAGGTCCAGGTGGATTCAAGCTCATATTCTTGAAATATGGGGGTTCATGTATGTATGTGGAGTTTGAATCCCACTTATAGAGGGTGCCAACAGGAACTTCAAGAGAGTTCCACATGGGGTTCCCCTTAGTGATAGCTTCATAGGTACTTTTGAACATGTCGGGCAATACGCTTGATTGCACAACCTACACCAGCATAAAGAGCATTAAATTTCATTTCTCATCATTGAAAACAATTACTAAAGAGCATATTACAAAGGCCAAATACCTGAGCTATCTCATCATTGCTGGGCCAAATGTCTCTGAAGTAAACACTCTTCCCATCCTTCCCAGTACCAATAGGTTCTTTATCGAAATCAATATCAACCTATAAAATGCAAGATTATTGGGTTAATTGATATTTTTAACTTTGTGTCCCCTACAATAAAATAAAATAATTGAAGATCTGAAGATGAAAGAAATGAGAGAAGAAAAAGAGAAAAATAGTGAAACCATTGAATTCTGTGTTACTTTATTGGTTCTGCCCTTCATAAATTGAATTATAAGCAGTTGGAATTCTTAGTCATACTTTTGTTTCACTTTGTACACATGCACAGATAAGTGGATGACTGTCCCAGAAGAGAAAACCTACTATGGTAAAAAGCTACACACTCATACAAACTATATATCCCAGAAACATAACACATGATCTGGACAGGACATTAAAGAAGCCCAGATTGCAGGTAAACACAAGCACTGGGCAAAGTTGCCTAAGAAGTATGAGCCCCTGACAGCAGTGACTGCTGGATTCAGACCCATTCTACATGAGTTGTCCCAAAAAATCCCCTAGGAGAGAGGCACTAAAACCACTCGTAGATGTAATCACCCACAGAAGCAATACATTTATTATAGAATCAATATCCATCCACAAGAATTCTAGACACATCTTTATAATCCAATTCACCCAAAGTTGTATCCAGATAGCAAAATGTGTTAAATTTTCTTCACCTCTATATATTCCTTCATGGTTGTACATCACATTCACCATTAATCTAGAAACTCAAGTGCAGTAACAGAACCACATATAATAAGAATACCATCCATTCATCCAACACTTAGGTTTACCCCCTCATCAAAACAAATTCTTTTAATACTTTACACAGCCTTGAAATTTAAAACTCTAAAAGACATAGATATTTAATAAGTATTAAATAATGATGCAGTTCCACAAATTCAACAAAGCTTCAATTTAGTACCTCAGGGAAATGAGGAATTAATGCATTATCAAATACACAACTAAAAATAAGAAAAACTTTGGATGCCATAAACAATCTGAGCTCATCCCTACATCTGTGTCAAGGTCTATGTATCTTGACTATCATAAAGAACCATTGAATCTAGATACCATACATATCCGGAGGTAGTTGTGTACTTACAGTTCCAGCCAATGCATAAGCAACAACCAACGGAGGAGAAGCAAGATAGTTGGCTCGTGTCAAAGGATGAACACGCCCTTCAAAATTACGGTTACCAGAAAGCACAGCTGCCGCAACAATATCTGGATAAACGAACCAGGCACACAATACACCATGGTAGATTATAAGCATTTCTTAGTTGTTAGAAAGTAGCCCTAATACGAGCATTCAAGTTAATGCAATGCTTAATTTAATAATATGGCATCACAAACAAGACATAGACTATACAAATGCCAGTGTCACTGGAAATTCACTATCAACTACTGTATATAAGCATGTGTAATTCTTTTTTACATTTTAAAGACCTATACATATGTAGCTTTGCGGATTTCAGAGTGACCTCAAGCAGACTTGTAACAATAATCATGATATAGAAAAGAAACTGTGGTAAGAGAACAAAACTATTACAAAAACCATAAGTAAAGTCAACATTTTTACCCAGAGTTATATTTGGATTACATCAAAGAAGTTTATGCTAGAAAGTAGCAAAACAGAGTAACAGACAGAGCTAAAGCATAAATTAACACACACAATAGACATACCATTCTCAGAAATAGCTGCAGAAACAGATTCATGTAGATCACCGGAGTTTCCAATACAAGTTGTGCAACCATAACCAACAATGCTGAAGCCCTGTTGATCCAAGTATTTCTGCAGACCACTATATACAACACAAACCAAAAAAAAATAAATGATCCATAAACAAGCATTTTGATTAACTTTATTGAAAAATTATGTCATCAATAAATGAAAAAAACCATTACCTCTTTTCCAGATATTTTGTAACTACTCCAGATCCAGGAGCCAGACTGGTTTTAACCCATGGCTTGACCTGATGAAAAAATTATTATACAATTGGCTAAAAAGGATGACAAAAAAAGCAAAACAATCTACCAAATAGTATCTAACCAAATTGGCAAACAAAACAATATTATGTACAATTTTTTTGCATCACCTAGAGGGCAGTGAATGAAACACTCCTAACTTAAATAGTAACATGTTCAGAAACAAAAACCAGACAAAAACATACAACAAAACAGTGTAAGGTTTGGCACAAAAACTAGATTAATGGTACTGTGCTACTGTACTACTACTACCACCATGAGTAATTTTTTCTCCCCTTTAAGAATAATTTATGTGATAAGATATAGCCGTTAATAGAATCTCGGATACAAATACTAGTACATGCCTACTATAACATGCCATCATACATTGAACTCGGCAGTTTTTTTAATTCTAATCAAAAGAAAACCACATACAAGGGAATAGTAGGTGCAAGAAAATCCTCAAATTCAGAGCTTGGTAACATATAAATCTATAATACTAGAACCACCAATCTTACTCACAACAGTCTACAATTTACTTCATTGGCAAAACATTTAACAAGTAGGAATCTAATTGTGTTACGAGATTAATATTAGTTATTTTTTAGGTAGTTTTAATATATAAAATAATCATCACTTAAGGAACTTGTTCAATTCATTCAATTGACCACCTTTCAAATGGCAATAAACCAAGGAATTTAAAGAAACATATCATGGAATTGTTAATGCATCATCATTCTTCAATATGATAAGGATTTAACGACCCCTGTCAAGCACATACAAAAAATACAAAATTCAAATCCTAAGAGCAAGACATAAATCATAATCATAAGAGGCAAGTAAACTAACCTCTAAACCCAACTCAGTAGCTTTCTTTGCGACCAAAGCAGCACCCAACATAACACTTGGGTTTGATGTGTTTGTGCAGCTTGTTATTGCAGCTATAACAACACTACCATGCTTCAGTTCAGCAGTCTGGCCATTGAATGAAAATTTAACAGCTTTATCCTGCTCTTCTTTGGGAATAGCAAATCCCTACAAGATAACAATGTAATAGGTAATGAATTAACACCAAATGAGAGTCCATAATAACAATATATACAAGAGAGGTATAGTGAAATGAGTAGCACAAGAAATTAGAAAAACAAGTTAACAAAATTAAGCAGATGGTTTTACCTTAAAACCAACTTTATTGTTAAGACACCCATGCCAATCAGCCTTCATTTCCTTCAGGGGAACGCGGTCATGTGGCCTATCAGTAACAGGTCACATCAGCACCACACTATAGATCCAATGGAAATATTTATGAGAAGCGTACCGTTTTGGTCCTGATATGCATGGCTCAACATCTGCTAAATCCAACTGAAGATATGATGAATAAACTCTTTCTTGTTGAGGCTGATACAAGCATAATTTTATTTATATTAGAACATATATGCCAACATCACAGCCAAATGATAAAGCTATAAAAGTTTGACAAGTTTCAACCTCACTATAGTCAACAAACATTTTGTTTGCCCGTAAATATTGCTCAATCATAGCAACCTGTAATTAAAGAAACACAAAATTTAGTGATGGTCAACTTGATGTGAAAACTAATACTTCCTCTGTTCCACAAATATTGCAACAAAGATGAAATTACGCATCCCAAAACACATTTTATATGCTAAATATCTATAATATTAGAGTAAAAATTATAAAAAGTTGATATTGTGAAAGTATTTTACGAGACGAATCTAACAAGACCCCACATGACTAAATTTTACTTTACGTATAAATCATAATATGTGGTCAAACAAGCGTGATGGATAGTGTAAAAGTCCAATTGTTGCAATGTTACTAGAACGGAGGAAGTGTAGCTTAAAAATGCAGAAATAAAAGAAAGAGATAAGGTATATGTTGTAACTCACAGTCTCATCACTTCTTCCAGTCAATTTTAGGTACTCTAAAGTAACATGATCCACAGGGAAGAAACCCATAGTTGCTCCATATTCAGGAGACATGTTGGCAATAGTAGCCCTGTCAGCAAGTGACAACTGACCCACTCCCTCTCCTGTAAGTGCAAGAAGAAATATAAACTTCTGCAATGACCCTACTAATTAAATAACCACACTCCACATATAACCATCCACCAACTTACCATGAAACTCTACAAACTTGCCAACAACACCATGCTTCCTCAACATTTGGGTTGCTGTCAAAACCAGATCTGTGGCTGTAACACCATCGCGTAGTTTACCAGTCATCTTGAATCCAACAACACCAGGTAAAACCATGCTCATGGGCTGTACAATCAAACCCACACGGTGTTAGGGAGTAAAATATCCAAACCCTCTTTCATAAGGACTTCTAAACCTCAATAAAAAAAAAAAATGAAAAAAAAATAGATGATCAATTGAACCTATATACTTCTAACTTCTAAGATATTTTAGTATTAACACAGGGAATAGTAAAATAGCATGTATAGCTTCCTTTTCTTTTCTATATTTTAATTCAGAGCAGTTGTTTATGCCTTGTTTTCTAAAAAAACAATCACATAGTACTACACGTGGTTAAGCAATTCATCTAATAGAAAGCTTCTATTACAGAGCAGAGAGAAGCGGTGCAAACAGTAAAAAAAAAAAAAAAAAAAAAAAAAATCCAAGCACATGTGACAAAGTACAATTTAGACCATCCAAAAAAAAATCTAAGGTAATAAAAAGTGGAAATGTAGGAAGTGCAAGTTAATGGGAATTTCCAATGCCCACAAACATGGGAATCAAATTACCAAGCCCCCCCTTGGTACTCAAAATTCCCATGATTTGCAATTGCCTTCTGAAAAACCAAACAAGTTTCGTCAATTCCTAGGAAATTTGATGTGGGATTTTAATTCCAATGACATACAAATGCCTTTGGGAATGAAATTCAATGTCAACCAAACAACACCTGATACCAGACATATGCACAACATTTTTTTCCCCTTATTTTCTATTATATAATGTCACTTAAATCGACTTGCGTACTTTATTTCAGCCTTGACAGCAAATTTTGCATTATGATGTAAAGCAGGAATCTTATTAGCACCACCTACCTGGCCAAGCATAGTTGCCTCAGCTTCAATTCCTCCAACACCCCATCCAGCAACACCTAGCCCATCAATCATGGTTGTGTGTGAATCGGTACCAACAACACTATCGGGATAAAGAAGTCCCTCGTTGTTGAAAACTACCCGTCCAAGATACTCCAGATTGACCTGTAATTTCATGAAAACACATCTTGAATAGTTAACATAGTTTGCCCAAAAAAAACCAATCCCAAAATCAAGATTTCAAGGAATGAAATCATTAGACCTTACTTCATTAACATATTGGCACTTCTATAAAAAAATGTAGAGTCCTTTCAAGTTGGTAAAATTTTGGGTGTCAAAGAAAAATAAGGGAACTTGAGTATAAGCAGTATTATTACCATTAATTACTTTGTTATACGTTTTACAACAAACTATTACCTCCTCTTTAAATATATTGCGCTTATAACAGTTAGACTTTATTCTAGTCGTCCAGTTCAGTAAGTAAACCTTGGATGAACTTATAAAAATCAGCCTATATTTTCTCATCTCACCATAATTGTGCTCATAAAAGTCATGTGTTTAAATATTGGGTCAACAAAAAGAAATAACTAAAATTTAACATTTAATGGAACAGGAGTAGGTGGAATCTCTATTAAATCAACCAAATCATAAAGGACTATGTTATATGATCAAGAAAACAAAAATACATCAGAGTCCAATATTAAAATAAAATAAAAAATTTAAATAGTAATAATAAACATAAAAAATAAGAGAAAAAAAAAAAAATCTACACCAACTCTCTGGTCTCTCAGGAAGGCCCAGGAGCATTCAATTTCAATGAAAACTATTATAATATAAAAGCAAAGAGGAAAGAACAAAAGGACAACATGATTAAGCCAGTATGTTGCTAGCAGTCCACAAGGACAGTAAGCACTTACATAAAAAATTATATGTCCTACTAAACACTCCGGTAACAATGAAATAAATACATACTAGTAAAAATCAGCCCTTGCAAATGATCAAAATCCAGGAATTACTCTTACCTGGTGCACAATTCCAGAACCAGGTGGAACAACAAGCATGTTACGGAAAGCAGTTGATCCCCATTTTAGGAAACCAAATCTCTCTCCATTCCTCTTAAACTCGAGTTCCATATTTGCCTGGACTGCGTTTGCAGACCTTGCTACATCAACTTGAACTGAATGATCAATGACAAGATCCACAGGAACCTGCCATGCAAAGTAAGGAGAGTAAAGTTAAGATTACAGGATAATTTTCTTTTAAGTACAACTACTAGTTATATGGTTCTTAAGAAAATGAAATATTTACAAAGAAAGCACAATACTAGTTCAAGGCACAAAACATGGTAATACTCTTCCCATTTCTTTGTTGGGTTAAAGACATAGTTAAAAACCAAGACTGCTATAATAAAGCACAGTGAATGGCTTATATATTATACTGGGTCACAGCCACTGAACCACAATTTTCAGGTTCATCATAAACACAGAAAAAGAAACGGACCAATGGGTTGATCTTGTTAGGGTCACTGTTAAGGTTCTTCATGGCATCCCTCATTGCAGCCAAATCAACCACCGCTGGCACTCCAGTGAAATCCTAGAAACAAAAACAAAGCTTGAGGTATTTGTGTATTGGTCACAAATCTTCATACATAAACCAATACAATACCCAACCTTAGTAACAAACCTGTAAAAGGACACGAGCAGGCTTAAAGGGGATTTCGACTAGCTTAGGTGCTGAGTTTTCCCAGTCAATGATTTTCTCAACATCATCCTTTGTGACTTGAAAGCCATCACAGTTGCGAATGGCTGACTCCAATAGGATCCGAATGGAGTAAGGTAACTTCTCTGGGATATAAAACAACCAAGTCAAGAAAAATGTTAATTTAATCAAGTAAGCATTTAGTCATAGTCAAAGACTATACCAACAGAGTTCTAAAACCAAACTTACCAACTCTTGGATCATTAAGGCCTGGAAGACTGTAATACTTTCCAAATTCACCACCACCTGATTTGGGTAGACTGGTGAAGATTCCCTTGTAAGGATGCTCAGAAGCTGAAGAATTGTAGAATCAAAAGATTAGGAGGTTATCATCAGTTTTGATTAAAGGTTATTCAGTTTTAGTTAGTTCTTTGTTTATATTGCATAACCTTTAATGGTTACTCCGTATTTAATTTCATTCAGTACTTTCGATTCGAAAATTCAACAAATACCGAAAATTTGAAAATCCACAAATTCACTGCAACAATTCAACAAGTTGATTCCCACATCATATGGTGAAGCAATAATTGAATCAAAATTGAAGTCCAGATATTAAAACACTGCGAAAATCCGCAATTTAAAAGCTACACTCGGTTATATATTGGAGTAAAACAGCATTGTCTTGGTATTTTTAATTTTACAAAAACCTTCTTTGTTATTTTTTTTTTTTTTTCCTTTTGTTTGCTGTTGCACGATAACAATTCGACTAGTATCTTGGTTATTCAAAATGACTTTCTTTATAAATAAGTCAAAGATCTGTTATACTTAATGGTTAGAGATTCTTGTTTATTTATGAATAATACTCTGTAGCATAAATGGCACAAACATTATTCTAAAAGCACATAACTTTATTATACAAGCAATTTGTGATAATTAAATAAAGCACTACAATCGGAAATGAATAATAGCATAAAAGGCACAAACATCATTTTAAAAGCATGTAACACTATAATATATACATTTTCAAAAAAAAAGAAAAAAAAAAATTAGATAATAATAAAAGCACTTTATAACATCATTGTCATTGCATCCGATTACATCTAAATCTACGTACAACCGGGCGTAGCATCTACCAATTGGCAAAACCAAAAGGTTTTGCATCTTTCGATCATTCTTAAAGAGCATATTTCCATCAACATCAACTGATATAATACTATCGATGAATAAAAAGTCAATTACTTAAAATATAAACAATCCATGGTATGTATAAATCAATCTTACTTGTTCTTGAATCAACTCATATCATCAATCAATAAATTAAACTCAATTAATAAAAAATAATAATAAACAATCCACGATTTAATTAATTCAATCTTACTTTGTCAAAAAAAAATATTAATTCAATCTTACTTGTTTTCAGATTGAACCACAAACATTAAATTAATAATTATTATATAAATAATCCAACAATCACAACATCGATTTTGAACAAAAATCAAATTTAATAATGGGTGAATAATAAAAAATTATACCCATAGTTGCGATTCTTGGTTGGAATCGTTCAAGAGGAGTAGAAGAAGATGAAGCAATCTGAGTGACCGGAGATCGCCAGTTAATCACGTGACAGCACCGGGAAGTAGATTGGAAACTCGATGAGAATCGGTAACCGGAAACCGACTGAGATTAGAAGAAGAGGAGAGAAATAGAATGAAAATGATGAGGCAAAATGAGCAGGTGTTATTCTTAGCAATCGGGAAATGAAAGACGTCACTGATATTATATCATGACTTAGGTGATTCAATTCCACCTACTACCACCACTGCATTTAATTTTTAATTTTGAAAATTTGTTAATTACTACTTAAAAAAAAAATGGGCCTTTGTGAACTATTACCCTTAAAAAATTGTTAATTACTACCTAAAACTGATTAATTTTAGTAATTACTACCATTTTTTCTTAATCACCCTACTCAAGTTTTTTTATTTTTTAATTTTTTTGAACGCCCCTACTTAAGTTCTTAATGACATTATTATCCGTCTAAATTGTAATTAGTGGCTTTTAAACCTTTATTAATTAAATTAACCCTTGCACCATCATTTCACCACCTCCAGCAACCCCCTTTACCACCTCCGGCAGCTCCCCTACCTTAAAACCCACTCCCCTCTCGATCCCCACCACGAAACCCACCTTCCTCTTGTTCCTCACCATGATTCCCACCCCCCTCTCGCTCCCCCACCACGATTCCCATCCCCTCCCCTACCCCCACCACGAAACACATCCCCATTACGTGGTTGGGCTGTTTCCGGGGGCTAGAGAAGGGGAGGGGCGATAATCGCAGTTGGGGAAAGGAGACACTAGTAGAAAAAATGAATTAGGCAACGCACCTATGGCACCGGTTCTTGAAAACCGGTGGCAAAGGAAATGGGCGGGTGAAGCTAGGAGACTTTTGGCACCGGTTCCTCTTACAAACCGGTGCCAACTACAAAAAAAAAAAAAAAAAAAAAAAAAGAGAGAGAAGGGATTTGGCACCGGTTCTAAACAAAACCGGTGCCAACTGTTTAAAAAAAAACCGGGTTAATATGTTGCTAGCTTAATTTCTTCTTCTTTCTTTTGCCCCTGCTTTCCCTCTTCTTCGTTCTGCTCTTGCACTCCATTGAAGCAACTGGCATTTTCGCATCCCTCTCCATCTCGTTTTCCCTCCCATTTTCGCATCTCCTGCTCATCCCTCTCCTTCTCGTTTTCCCTATGGTTTTCGCATCTCTTGCTTTCCCTCTTCGTTTCCCTCATCCCTGCTCTTCCCCCTGCTCTTCCCCCTGCTTTCCCTCTTCGTTTTCGCATCTCCTTAAGCATGCACTCCATTGAAGCAGGTCTCTCTCTCCATTGAAGTGGTTTATGTGCATTCTCACTCCATTGAAGTAGCACCTACATTGAACCAAGCCTGGGCTCCATTGAACTCACACCATTGAACGTGGTATATATTCTCCATTGAGGCCGATTATGAGCTTTCTCACTTCCATCAAAACAAGCTTCGAGGTAAGGTATTTCTTGTGGTTGTGCGATTTCATTGATTTTTTCACAATCTAGGGTTTTTCGTTGATTTTCTGTTATTTTTAGTAATTTCAAGGTTATGGTAATATAGGGTTTGTAGTGTAATTTGCATCTGTTCAAGACTGCTTTGTAGTGTAATTTGCATCTGCTCATTTTCGTTATGAATTGGTTCAAGAGCAGCGTTGTTGAATTCTGCTAATGTAAGATGCTGGTTTCTACAGAGGCTTTTGGGTATGCATGGCGTAGTTGCTGCCATTTGCTCGAGACCGAGACTATAGTTGAGGTGTTTCTCATGCTAATTTTTCGTATTTATAAGTGTTGGAATACAAATTTTGTATAAATTCTTTCTTGTATGGTGAGTTTTATTAAGATCAATGCATAACCCCAGACTTTTGTTTTTTGTTTTAAATTTTTATAGATTCATATGTGAATTGAAGCACAAGTTTATAAGCTTGAAGACTACACATTTAGCTCAAGTGAGAAGATAGAAACAATACATCCATTGTACTTGCTATATTGGTATGAATTATACACTTTACTAATAAGCTATATTTCTTTCTCTTTATTGTTTTAATAAAAGTTTTTTCATGCTATTACGACTTGTGTATTATTTAATGACAAATAAATACAACAATATATGAAATGCTTGCATCATCATATGCCTAGATACCCGTTCAAGGCTTTCTCATTAGGAGAAAGTCTTGAATAGTCCCCGGTTGGGACTGTTCTTGAACGTTTACTCTCACTTAGGTGGTGAATGTATGTCTTTTTTTTCGATTTTAAGGAACATCTTGGCTTACCATTTCCTCACCATGTTCTCTGGGTACATATGTGGGTAAGTTATTACCTACATCTTGTACTTGGAGAACTGGGGGGAAATGCTGCCGGATTTTCCTTAAAATTGGAAAGTCGACATACATTCACTAGTGAGATTACACGTTCAAGGATGGGTTAGGTTGGAGTGATAAGGACCCTTTGGAAGCATATATGCATTTCTGTATCTATATGAATGTTATATGCATGGTGTGTGTTTGAATTTGATTTACATATATAATAGATGTAGCAATTATACATTATTCGTAATATGTTGTCGTGTTTAGAGACAATTTACTTAATGGAGAAGGATCGTGGCTGGATGTATGGTAGACGTGATACATTGGAATTCTTTGATGGGGTTCAAGAGTTTTGCGAGAGGGCTTCATCTTATCAGCGCATAATGGGTGTCGATTGGCTCTATTGTCCTTGTGTTGATTGTAATAATGTGAAGGTGGTCAATAGTGTTGATATCATTAGAGATCATGTACTTTGTCGTGGGTTTAAGCTTAAATACCATGTGTGGATTTGGCACGGTGAAGAAGGAGAGTACAGTGGGGATGTTAATGGGAATGATGTGCATGATGATAGAAGCAATGACATTCGTGTGGACGAGGAATACAGGAATGATGAACATATTATTGATAATGGTGATGAGGATGGATTTGAGGATGATCAGGTAGATGAGGTCGAGGATGAAGGGGTGGATGAGATGATGCGTGGTGTTGAAGGTGACGTGTTTGAGTCATTATCGGAGGCTTCTTAAAAGCCTTTGTATCCTGGGTGCAAAAAATACTCCAAACTATCAGCCGTGCTAACACTTTTTAACATTAAGTCGAAGCATGGGTGGACGGACAGTAGTTTTACTTCTTTGTTGACCGCGTTAAGTGAGATGTTGCCCGACGGGAATGAAATTCCTAAGTCTTCAACGAAGCTCATGTGTCCATTTGGTTTGGAGTATAAGAAGATACATGCATGTCCTAATGATTGTATTCTTTATCGAAATGAATATGAACAATTGGAGGAGTGTCCACAATGCAAGAAGTCGTGCTACAAGCGCATGAGTTGCAATGTTGGTACGAAGGGACCTCCTGCTAAGGTGTTGTGGTATCTTCCCACTATTCCAAGGTTTAAGCGTCTATTCTCAACACCAAAAGACGCTAAAAACTTGAGGTGGCATGCAGAGGGAAGAAAGAAAAACAGAATGCTGAAGCATCCAGCCGACTCCCTGTAATGGAAGAACATTGATATGAAGTTTGGGGAATTTGGTGATGAAGTCAGAAATTTAAGGCTTGGTTTGTGCACGGACGGGATGAATCCATTTGGCACTCTTAGTACCCAACATAGCACATGGCCGGTACTTTTAGTGATCTACAATTTGCCTCCTTGGTTGTACATGAAACGGAAATACGTAATGCTTTCACTTTTGATAACGGGGCCAAGGCAACCTGAAACGACATAGATGTTTATCTTGCGCCACTTGTTGACGATTTGAGAACGATGTGGGATGAAGGGGTTTCCGTTTTTGATGCTCATAAGAATGAGAAGTTCACATTGTGTGCAGCTCTTATGTGGATCGTTAATGATTTTCCTGCATATGGCAACTTGTCTGGTTACAAGAACAAAGGAAAAAAATCATGTCCCATTTGTATTGATGACACCCCAAGCATACACCTTGATAATTGTCACAAAGAGGTGTACGTGTGTACTCGAAAGATGCTTAGGCGCGATCACCCGTACCGCAGGCAGAAAAAGGCTTTCGATGGGAAAGCGGAAGAAGGGACTGCGCCTAGGCCATTGACTGGTGAGGAAGTTTATGCTCTAGTTAAGGGTATACAGACAGTATTTGGGAAAACATAAAAAGTTGCGGACTCAACTGCTCTCTTCAAAAAAGAATCAATCTTTTGGAAGCTTCCGTACTGGAAAGAACATGACGTTAGGCAATGTCTTGATGTAATGCATATAGAGAAGAATGTGTGTGATGCTCTCGTGGGAACGCTAATGAGTATTCAAGGCAAAACAAAGGACGGAAAGGGTGCACGGTTAGAATTGGAAAAGATGGGGGTTCGTCCAGAATTGTGGGCTCAGAAAAAGGTTAGAAAGGGAAAGGAACAGGAAATGGAAAATGAAATGAGTTCGAAAAAAGGAAAGGGGAAGAGCAAGGGAAAGGGAAAGGCCACGGATGCGTCGAAGAAGAAATATGCGGGAAAAGCCAAGGATGATAAGGCTTATTTACCTCCGGCTTGCTACACATTGTCAAGGGTAGAAAAACGAATGTTTTGTGCATGTCTGTACGACATTAAGGTTCCATCAGGGTATGCATCTAACATGAAAAGATTTGTATCCTTGAATGGAGAATTGAAGCTGACAAGTATGAAATCCCACGATTGTCATGTTCTGATGCAAGTATTCCTACCAATTGCAATACGTGGTATTTTACCAAAGCACGTGAGGGAAGCTATTACAAGCCTCTGTTCGTTTTTCAATACAAGCAGCAAAGTGCTTGATCCTTGTACACTTGATGCTTTACAGGCGGATGTGGTTGTGACTTTGTGCAAATTTGAGATGTACTTCCCACCCTCATTTTTTGACATAATGGTGCATTTGATTCTTCATTTGGTGCGTGAGATTGAATTGTGCGGTCCAGTGTTCATGAGGTGGTGCTATCCTTTTGAAATACACATGGGTACATTGCAAAATAAGGTAAGGAATCGGGCTCACCCGGAAGGAAGTATAATTCAAGGGACCGTGGTTGAGGAGATTGGTAATTTTGTGGCCGACTATGTAGCCGTTGTTGAACCTATTGATATTCCTACTTCTCGACATGAAGGGAGACTTGATGGTCATGGCACAATCGGGTCGAAACGAATGTCACCTGATCGAGATAAGTTCTTACAAGCACACC